CGACCAGCTTTCGCTTACCCCAGCATGGTTTCCGTCGTTTCAGCAACTGCACGACTAGACGGGCCACCCGAATACTAATGCTGTCAATAACGCCACGCGCCACAGAACCGGGCCTATTGTTCTGATTCCGCCTCGTGCCTACAGCTGGCGTCGGAGCGTCTAATCCTCGTGGCTGCGTGTTGCTCCTGTTTGGTTGCGTGTAACCACCTCGGCCGAGACACGCATCGCAAAACACAGTGCGCTGTTTTTGCAGTTGTGAGGAGCCCCAGATCAAGACCATTCATCACAAGTGGGATGTGATGAGCCTTGCCAGGCACTGCATCATCGAGGCCTAAACGAAGTGGCTGATACGGCTCGGCAGCGTCAGTGGACGGTCAGACAAGCAGCCCAAGTAGTGTAAACGACGGCCTTGCTTCAAACCTCCCTCCTCACGTGGCGTGCTTGCCATGAATCGAGCTTTATCTCATCACAACTGCACTAGCGAAGACGCTACTATCGCTGGGCGTGGTAAAGCGAGGAGTTTCCATAGGTTGAGGGACTCTGATGTATACCCGTGATTTGACAGAAATTCTGTGGAATTGTCTTTTGATTTTTCCTTTAGTTCTCTCGCTTCTGCATGACTGGAAAGAGAGCATCCATTTTGGCAACTTCTTTCACGCTCGGGCCATCTACTCTTGCAAGAAAGCCTAGTTCGCACCAGCGTTGGCCAACAAACGGAGTTGATCCTACGAAGGACCCAAAGATTGCTCATAATGCTATCGGGTGCTTTCCGTTGCGGTAAGGATGTCCTTTTGAGAAACCATGTAGTTGTATGTATTATCATACTTGATGGTCCATCCTCCAAGTCGCCAAGGAAGCGATGCCAGAACAGTCCATCAAGACACGCTACCAACATTCAAAAGACGGTACGTATACTTCAGGTTTGGCACTGCATTTGCAGTGGCAAAGATCCGTGATCACGTTTGAGTAGTATCAGGTCTGAGGCGAATAGACCCATGATCCTGGTACCGAGCTCTACGAATTATGAGTTGACGGCGTTGGTGGAAGCGGCTAATGCTAATATGTATGCTAGTAATCCATGTCCTGTGCAGTATTGCTTTGTTTCTTGATACAGTACATACATTTCCTCTTTCGCTGGCAGCAGAAGTCTCCGGGCAAGGTTTCGGAAAACAAGACCCAATGTATCGATACGACAGACAGCACTCTCTCCTTTGCCAAGGCCAAGGCAGATGCATGGGAGTTGTTTGCTGTGCCGGCGAGACGGTCTGTGCCTCGCTGTTCGGCCTCTATCGCACTACCCAGGAAGACCAGACACCTTTCGGGAACGGGATGCCTCGATCTGGCACTGCCGGTTTGAATTACACTACACTATGGAGCACCAGAGCCTTGACAAGGGGAGCATGCGAGTACACAGCATCAAGATATCCATTGGCTACGGATCTCACCAGTGTCTCTTGGTGTCCTTCTGTCCAACACATGGCAAGTCCCGTACTGCAATCTGCGGCGGCTATCTGCCTAGGGAGGCTGTCCGTCTGTGCTTTCCGCTCCTCGAGGGGGAGCCTGATCGACGTGGCTGAGATGATATCAAGGACACAGTAACCAATGCAGGGCCGTCATGGTGACAGCCGCAGGACTTTTGCAGCAAGCCCAAACCAAACAACCTTTATGGCGTCTTTGTCTGGGCGTTTGCATTCCAAAGACCGCTCTTTCTCGAGTTGAAATCGACTGGGCAAGTTTGACTTTGCAGCCCGAAGCGGCCAAGGAGGAAGAATTGCAACGCCATCATGCAAGTCAAGGATACACATCACATACTATCAACAAGCCATGGGTCTAGAGCGAAAATCTGCCTCGAGACCGAGAAGCCCAGAGCATGTACAATGGGAGCCACAGGGTGTGTGGAGAGCTGGTGGCGATGAGAAGAACTCCATGGCCAGCTGCGTCGTGCCACCACGATAACAAACTTGATTCGGTATACTATCTGCTAATGCAAATGCCAATTACATATTACGTCTTCGCGATAGGCGGTAAGGTGCATCACGGGAAACAAATCCCCGCATACTATTGCCGTAAGGGGGGCAGGGGGGTGGGAGAGGTTGGGGCCGGAGATGACGGGCCTTGTTTCTTCATGTTGGAGCTGATGGGCACATACTATCCTGGACCTGGATCAGATCCTATTGGCACATGAACGAGTTCTTCGGATAGAACGCCAAGGGCTGCCACTACGTACTGTGCCGCGTTTGGCGGCGGCAAATGGTTGTGACGATGCTAGTCGCTGGGAGTCATGCGGCACTGCAATCCTGCCTCTCTACCGTACTTGTAAGCCGGGGAGGATGCCAGCTGTGGACGTAGCAGAGAGATGCCACTGTCATAATGCGCGAGAGAGAGTATTCATGGCCTTGACGAGTCGCCGGGCTGTCCGGGGGGTTTGCCAAGGGGGCTGGCTAGTAAGTCGGGTCGCCATATGATGGAATGAAATGCTTTGCGGCAGCCGGTGTGGTATTCGACCCCCCATGTGGTTTTTGAAATGTGTCAAGTCAGGCTTGTAGAGCAAAGCTGTTGCCCGTGGTAATCTTGACGAGTGTGTGGTTCTCGATATAGTCGACACCACCTGGAGGCGGCGACGCTGTGCAGCCCAACATGTATTGATTTTGAATAATGCCCAGCCCAACCGCGTCCATGGCATTATACACCTTCGCAACGACATGCGTACATCCAATGCCATCGACTATTTACCCACCAAGAAAGGGGGCGCAGCATTCAAACAGAGACGAGTCATCATGTACGTTGCCTTGTTCTCGCCCTCCCCGCCTCGTACTAATAGAGAGAACCGGCATACTCTGGCATCCATATCACTTTCACAGCTAACGAGTGCAGAAGGGGAATTCATGTCCCGAGTACAGTAAACGACAGAGTGGGAGGACCGCGAACTCACCAGTGCCAGATGGTTTGTTTCTCCCGACCCGTCCTCTACGACCAACCCCTAATCGTAGCAAAACGCCGGCTAGAAAGCCCATGAGCGCTGTAGATGAGAAAACAGCAGAGAAGACTCGTACACGAATCACCCAACAGCTCGTTCACAGCCAGAAGACAGTGGCCAGGCACGCCCTCAGCCCTGAACCACCGCCCCAAATCTATCCGGGGCGCCCAGACATCCGCATCGCCATGAGATGGAGAAGCATGCCTCACATCCACGGGCATGCTGCCCCCTGAAAAAGAAAGACAACGTCATGAGCATCACCCAGCAGCGAGTCATCGTAAAACCCATCAAGTCTATCACAAGCTAGCTCCCAAGTGCAAACCGTGCCATCTCGATGCGATCTACCCGCCGCTCCTCCGTCGCCATGGCCAGAATACGATACAGCCGCATCCAAGCTCAGATCTAGAAACCACAAGATATAAAAAAAAATGAATTGTATATGTATTATTGTACACCGCATGAGCCCTTCTCGCCAGATATCTCACCCAGATTCACTCAGCCTCGCCTCCCAGCAAATAGCGCCGAGTTTGTCTTCCCCCCCTTCCTCCTCCTTCTCACCAAGCCCAAGCCCAAGCCCATATTTAGAAAATATCCCCCCCCTTCGCAAAAAAACTTGACCGTCTTTTTTCCAAAAAGATCCAAAACCGCCTAGCAAACAACAATTTCCCATAATTTTAGCACACCCAGCCCCCGTCGGCAATACTCACACGCCCCCGAGCCCAAAAGTACTCGGATGTCCGGTCTCCTCCCAACAGGCAAAACACCGCATTCCCTCCAGCCCAACATGCATACATACGCCCACCACGTACGTACATCCATATCGCGGTCCACTCGGAAACGCACGCCAAACAAAACACCTAAAAAGGAACAAAGGGAAAAAAAATGAATCACAAGATCCAAACCCCCCTCCTTGCGGGGTTGCCAGGAAGGAAAAAAAAACAAAGAGGCTCCCGGAAGGTCCCCCGGCCAGAGAACGAGCCACCAAGTGTTCCTTGCTGCCTGAACCGTTGGTCCCATCTCCCGGATCTCCCCTAGACACTTGTATTAGTATTTTCAAAATTCAAAATAAGAGCAAAAGAAGAAGAAAATATACACAGTACATATACTAGTACACGCAAAACACCTGCTCCTCTTGTCAAGGAAAAAGGAAGCAAGAACTGTTGGCAACAAACGACGGACGGGTTTCACAACAGGACGAAATGTTTCAAACGTGACCTTGCTGCACCTCACTCCATACATACACACATACATACATACGTACGTACTGATACGTCACTCGCGCCTCATGCGTATCCAATTACATTCTTGGCATGGGAACCTTTTATTTTAAAAGACAAGCCGCTAGGAAGGAAGCAGTTACTGTGAAAAAAAAAACATAAATCAAATTTGGTTCTGGAGCGCTCGTGCCCGAGGCCAGTCCCGCCTTGCGGTGCGTGCGTTTTTTTGGGAACGAGCTTTTTCGCTTTTCCACCTCACCATGACAAAAGGCAGTTGTCTAGTTCCGCTTTTGGGAGAGATTGGCCGGGCTTGGGGGATCTGGGGTTTCCGGCTTTTGATTCACCGCTGTTTTGGGAACCTGATAACTCCAATGGCGTGTTTCTAAAAGGGGCACCCCTTTCGCCACCCTTGCCCGGGGGCTTTTCGTTGTTGTTGCTTGGCCGGAAGCAAACGTGATGAGTTAGCGTTTGCCGTGTGTTGGTCTGAGCGGCGTGGAATGGGAGTGTGTGTTTCCGCAGTAATTTGACACGTCGAGTTGTCAGGGAATGAACGAAGCCTAGATTGTCCAGGTAAGCGTGTTAACCGGGAGGGGAGATGGCAAATGTGGCATTCATTGGATTTGTGAATTCTAGTCGTCTTTGATCATATTGGAGGCGCTCCAAATTGTGTCTGAACCTGCCTAGGGTAACTGTATGCTTGGATACCATCGTGTTGACGTGTAAATACTTCGTATGAGCTCTGCTACTGGGAGAGTATAAGACATGATAAAAAACCAAATGCATCGTTATTCATTCACAACGAGCTGCTACCAACGAGGCTCCCCCTGCTCAGCTGATGGTGTAGAAATGACGTTCTTGTCGCCAAAGGGATTGTCGTCGTCGTCATCTTGCTCCTCTTCTTCCGCATCCTCACTTGTTGCGCTTGACAACCGTCTCGTTGGTGCTACAGGACGAGGAGGCCTGGCAGGCGCATGCTTGGAAGCGGTGTCGAGTGTGAGCCCCGACAGATCCGGCACGTCTTTTGCTGCTGCCCGGCCTTCCTGAGCCTTTTCTGTAATCACTGGAAAATCATATAAGTATACGTGCAAAGAGGCAGAGGCGTGCCTTAGGGTAGGAGTATTACACATACTTCGATACATGTGAGTTTGCTCTGCCAATTCGTCATCAGAGTCACTATCTGCTTCCATCGAGTGATCTAGCTGCTCGTATGCCATCAGAGCATCGACAAGCTCGTCGTTGGCGTGAAGTAGTGCACCTAGCCACTGCTCGTTTTCAACTTGATGGATCTAGAGTTCTCCACGTCAGTTCTATACACCAAAACCCATCTGGATAATCAAATGGGTTGAACCTACATATCGCAATATTCTCCTTCGCAGCTGCTTACAGGCCTCGAAATGTTGTGTCGCAGCTCGATTGTCCGAGATCCTCTCCTTCTCACGATTGATAGTCTGTAGGGAATTCATCAATGCTGTCGACGCCATAGACGCATCTGCAATGACTGATTTCATCTTCTTCATCTCAGCCTCAAGGTCAAATTTGCGGCCACTTTTGCTTTTGCTTTTGGACTTGGACTTGGCCTTGGACTTTTTCAGTCCACTGCTGCCGCCGCCGCCGCCATCTTGCATGTCAAGAGCAGTGGCGGGATGGTATCCTCCCGACGGTCCAGGCATGTCTTGTTTCTTTTGCTCGCTGGCTCGCTCCGCCTCTTCTTCCTCGTCGTCGCCAAACGGGTTCTCCGTCTCCTGGATGACCTTGGACTCCTCTCGCTTCATACCAACCTTGCGCTTGGGGAGTTCCTGCAGACCGAGTTAACAGGGGCTACATTCAAGGAGGAAAGGTCTTCGCAGCCCAGTGCTCATCGTACCCTGTACAACCGCGCAACCCTCTCCAACCCGGGAACGTTTGCGTACTGCGTCCATTCCTGGAAGAGCTCGCGGCACTTCTTCTTAACGGCGGGGTCCGACAAATTCGACGAGCCGCACACCCGGAGACGCTCCAACAGCGGCTCATCCGCAAGCGCGCGCTGGAACTGCGAACCGGCATTCTGGATAAGTCCATCGAGTAGCACCAGGGCTCGAATCTGCCTGTGGACTGTGCCATACTTGAGCTTCTTGCGGATCGCGCGCGCTGCTTCGGGTGGACCAGAAGCTTGGAGCTTGATGACTTCGACGAGGTCCGGGATTCCGCTGAGGTCTTCTTCGGCGTAGGACTCGGAGGTGAGGTTCTCGATGGTGACGGTAACCGCCGAGTACGGCTTCTTCTGCAAGGTGTTAGCAAAGCTTTGCTTGTCGTGAGAGGCTGCAAATGACTCCTCAGAATTGACACGCCACGTCACCCAGTACCTGCTGAGTCCTTGAGCCGCAAAAACAAAAAACATACCGATTGAAACATGGTGAGGTGATCCGGCGCAATCGCTGCCGACGTTTCTTGGCTGGTAGGCGGCCGCGACGGCTAGTATTTCCCACGCCTCCGATATGCAAGATCCTGATGTATATATGTACCTAGGTATGCATATATAGATAGGTGGCTAGCCTGATAGCTCGTTCAAGCTTCTTCAGACTTCCTCGGACATGTGCGCAGCTCCTTCCCTCTTCACACAAGGGAGCTGTTTCAACACCGCTCGTAAGCTTCTTGGCAGCGTCAGAAAGTCCTGGTCGGTGATACGACAAAGGTGGGGGCAATGCGCGAATGCCTGTTGTGCGTGGACACTTTTGTGAGGGGTTCGGTTCTAACAGAGAATTGAGAAAAAAAAAACAAAGGGCTTGTTGCGTCACAGCGGAACCTGGGAATGCAGGAGGTGAAGCACCATCTGGCAGGATACGTCGTCGTATGATGGCGCACGTGGAAGGTGGTTTCGGAATTGGAGCTCAAACTAGTACTTGCTGCAGGCGGGACGTGGACAATGCGGGGTGATGAAGCACGGGAGCTTGGGAGCTTGGGAGCTTGGGAGCTGGTCGGCAATTCGGACAAGCAACAATGACGGATCACGGAGGTGGGGAGAAAGAAAGAAGGAGGGGCATACCCGTGGGTAATAATAAGTCTTGGTGTCTCTTCTCGGCTAATTTCCTCTTTGTCATCTGCAACATCGGTTGTCCATGTTATTATTTATATGTGAGTCTGTCCTACCTGATCTGTACACCACTGTACACGGCCATGCGCTGTGCGGGTTCATGGCTGCACGCATCACGCCTGCCATGACATGCATGGACTGACGAGTCACCAGTCACGACACACGAGCCCAAGACTTGCATCAGAAAACAAGGATATGGCAGCTACATCTTGAATACGAAGGCTTCAAGGATGAAGAAATCTATATGACACTATATTCCAGTACAACACTACGCCCCATACTAGCTGTAACCAGCACCAAGGTATACCGCATTCCCCATGCTTTTGTCCAAATCAGTACCATCTGTAATCACCAAACAGCCGCTTCATAACGCTTGTTCTTAACTAATGCCAGGCATACTCAACCAGACTTTCCTAAACCCAATAATACCAAATTGGCCACATTCATCACCGTAATGACTAACCACACCAGTACCCCCAGAATAATAATATACCACGGATTCGCCATGTTGACACCAGCAGCACTATTTGCACCTGGCCGACCTCTGTCATCATCCTCATTGTAGTATCGTGCCATTCCCGGCAAAACAGTCATGTATCTTGATCGACTGGTAAAGTAAATAAGTGGCAAAGTGACAAATGGCAGCACAGAACTAAGAACCACTTGTGAAGCTGTCAAGGCCGTGTTCAGCCCAGACCTTCCTACTGCTCCGGCAATGATAATCGACGGGGTGATGCTGATGGAGCGAGTAATGAGCCGACGGAGCCACGGCTTGAGTTTCCACCTGATGGCACCCTCGCTGACCAACTGGCCTGCAATGGTGCACACGATGCCTGCCGATACGCCAGATAGAAGAAGGGCCAAGGCAAAGATTGTACCCACAGCGGGCGAGATGCTCTTTGCCAGCAGGTCATGGATGCCAAAAATATCAGCTTCGAGCGCGTCAGGGTTTTGATATAAAGAGGCGCCGGCTACGATGAGAATGGCCGAGTTGACAAAGAGGGCAAAGGTGAAGAGTGCAAGGGCCAGTTCGGTGATGGAGTACTTGAGTGAGTGTTTGATGGCGGCTTGAGATGGGATATATACTCCCTTATCAAGGTATTCGTCGTTGGTAGCGGAAGACGCAGAAGTGGCTAGCTCCTCTGGTATAAGGCCGTGCTTGGTGTCGAACTCTCGCAGACGGGGCTGGACAATACCAGAGCCTAGGTATAAGCTGTGTGGCATGACGGTTGCTCCGAGAATGCCACAAGCCTGATACAGTCTATCCGCTATTAGTCCGGCAAATCTTGCAACTGCAATGGAGGGCTAGGTGATGAGAGACTTACGCTTGCGACTCAACAAGCGAACTGGACGGAACGTATCCTCTGAATACCTCCCCGACACTCCCCGAAATCATGCTCAGCTCAATACAAAAGCAGATTACGACCCCCAATACTAGCAAGCAGACAAACATTTCAAATAACCTCAAGCCCTTCATCGTGCCGTCTGGCCTATAAAAGATCAAAATGGCCATGACGTCCAGAATAGACAATGCGCATCCCGCAACAAGAGGCAGTTTAGGGATCAAAAGATTCAAGGCAATGGCGGTACCCACAACCTCTGCCATGTCCGTCGCGATAATGGCAACTTCAGCCAGACCATACAGCAAGTAATTCAACCAGCGCGGCAAATACGCACGACATGCTGATGCGAGATCCAGGCCTGTGACTGTGCCGAGCTGGATGGCTAGCGACTGCAGGAGAATGGCGAAGAGGTTGCTCAAGAGGACGATGAAAAGTAGTTTGTACTGGTATGATGCACCAGCTGCGATATCGGTGGCATAGTTGCCGGGGTCGACTGTGTCATGTTAGTTTTTGTGATGACTGCGTCGTCCTGATGGAGAGGCGGTTGAATGGCTCTGGCCGTCGAGATTATTTGGGATCAACTCACTATACGCCACAGAAATCATGAATCCCGGCCCAACAAACGTGCCAAATGTCCAAAACGCATGCTTGGCCCGTTCCAGGGCCTTCTTGGCACGATTCGCGCTCCCCGGCCTCGATCTGATAGTCGTGTTATCAACGACGACGGGGTTCTTCTCCGCCGAAGAATCAGACTGTTCTTGCTGCGCATCACTGCGCTGAATGCCATGCGTATCCATATCTATCGCAGCTCTCGATTGCCGTTCATAAGACCAGAAAATATGGAGGTGTTGTGTACAAGTTCCTCTTGAATGCCAGTATCCGCCTGCCTCGATGGAAGTTTACAAAGCGCAGAAAACGATCCGTAGTGTCGCCATCCATTCACCCATCGATTTTAAGTTTGACTTTTTCTCTTTGTCCCGCTCTTCAAAGGCTCCCTGCCAATGTTGGCAACTATCGCAACAAGAGCCGCCTCCTGGTCGCCTGTTCGTCTATGCCGGGACGTGGTTGTCAATTGCTGTCTATGGATTGGAGGCCAAGACAGCGACAGGGATGATGGCAGGAAAGATCAGTCTTGGCGAACTATGCAGGCTTATATGAAAACGGCACTCCAGCACAGGACGAGATGACTACACAAAAAAACAAAGGAAAAAAAAAGGTTAGCGTACGGAATTTTTTTTTAGGAGCATGACCCAAGTGCTTGTTCTTCTTGGGCACTAACGTAGATTTTTCCCAGACAGAATTGCCGATGGAATTCGAGGCCAGCTCCGGGGTTACCCGACAGGCAAAAAGCTGCTGCAATCGAGGAAGTCGCGACGTTGGACCCACCAGCTAGTCGACACTTCTTCAATGTTGTCACTCGCACTTGCCTGCGCCTGCCGCTCTCTTTTTTCGCTAAACAAAATCTTCCACGTCGCGTGGATGTCGTGTGACTAGACTCAACTGCAGGTTACTGTCTGTCCAAGACAATCCAACTCTTGAGCCTCGACGGGTGTTTATATAGACCCCACCGATGGCGAGAAGAATGCCTTATTACACCGCACCACTGCACATCTAGGTGATGCCGGAACTAGACATCCGCATCGACCCCTCTCTCCGGCACAGCAGCCGGTCGGACTCGATTCCCGATGGATGTTTCTTCTCCGCTCCCAACGACACTTGTGTATCCGCCCGCCCGCTGGTGGCCGTTGGCTCAGACGGGGACGCTCTTTGGCTCTGCCTGATGGATCAGATCCGTTTTGCCTGGTGGCTCCAACGCTGGAGCCCTGGGGACGCACGGCCGCCGTCTTCTTCCTGATAACGCGCATGAAGATGAGAAGAGGTTGGTGATACGACCCGGTCGCACCGGGGCCCTGTCAACGTCACTGGGCGACGGGGGACAGAATCGGTGCAAAAGGGAGAGCCATTGGGTGTCTGGCACGGAGTAGACTTGTACGGAGTACAAAGTACGTCGATGGTATAGAGAGAATGACGAGCATCAGCGGCTGCGTCAGCGTCAGCACACGCCGTGTTACCCATTGACCCGAATGGTGGGTTGAGAATGGATCTTCAAGTCAACTGTTCGGCGTCGCTTTAACCTTGTCTCCCCCTTGGCTCGTCGTTGGTTCTTTTGCATTTCCGCCGTAATATTGGCCTCTCACCGAACGAGTCCCGCCGAGGTATCCCGTATTCCTGCGTCTGAAAGTATTGACAACATTCGGCATGGCGGTCAAGACGTTCATTACTCCATTCCGACAAAACGTCGATTCTTGCCAAGATGACCCCAGGCGTTGCTCGAGCCCATCCTTTTCTGCTGCAGTGTAACCTTCTAGTTGAGCAACGAAAACTAAACACGTTGCTACCTGCATTTGCGCAGCCAAACGGTGTATCAAAGGCGCCGTCGTTGTACAATAATTCTTCAGGCATGCACATGCAACTACTCTGTGTAATCTGTATTGCAGAACATGGTGTGGCAAATCCGCTGGTCGAGTTTGCGCTTGCGAACATAGAGTCCGAGTGCATCACGCAAGGGTCAGGTCCGCTGAATTCATCAAACTTTTCAATCTTATAAAACGAGATCACTCTAACAGTTGAGGTCCATAATACTTCCATTCCGGAGACGGTTTCTTTATGTATTTTCATGTGTCCATTCTGTCGACGGATCTTCTTCTATCCCCTTGCACCATGCCGACTGGTTGACATCGGCAATGCATCCCGCTCCATGGAGCCAACGAACTATTCGTCTCTTTTCCCCTGGTTACCCCCTTGCCTCTCCGACTCGCAGCCAGTTGAAAGACGGCCCCCAACACGCCTCTTGTACAACCAAACTATATATCGCAATCCCGGGTATAAATGTCCGCGCATCGCAAATATTCTCCCCCACCTTAGCTTGGTCATCGAGCTGGAGGTTGGGAACTTTCGATTTCGGCTTTGATGCTTAAACACGCGATCATCAAGTGTCTCTGGACGAGTGTAACACAGAGTTTGTGGATCTATCGAACCAGAGCCACGAATTACTCCCTTAGAGGGATTTTACTTCTGCTTCTTGCCAGATTTGGCAGCAGCCCTCTCACGGTCCCGCTTGGCGTAGATTCCGGCTGTGAAGGGATCCTCGAATCGCAATGCCACCACGTAAACGAGATACACCCACAACGTCAACAAGAGTCCGGCCGGCTTGCCAAAGAACAGGGCAGTGCTCAGGAAGCTCATGGTAGAGCCCCAGTACATGGGAGCACCAGTGACGTTGAAGGGGAAGCCAGTCACCATTTCATCCAGCAAGAAGCCAAAGTAGTCGCCCAGGAAGGTGCCTCTTATTCCCAGACGGTACGTCGACGAAATGACGAGGGTGTTACCGGCAGCAAACAACATGTAGGCAGCAGCCTGCGAGTAGATAGTCTCTAGCAAGGGGTGCGACGGCTGCTCCAATAATGCAACCTTGTAGAGCCAGTCGCGAAAGAGACCGAGGGAGAAGATGGCTACAGCAAGGCCATAATTGGCGGCCTTGGCATTACCGCCAAATAGTTTCGTCAGGATCTTGTTGTGATACTCTACAGCATTTCTAGTGTCAGTTGGTATATCGTGGAAGGTAGCTGGCGACGACCCTTGGAGGAGCCCCGGTAGTCGGACAGGCAATGGGAAGGCAAACCTTGTCGAGCCACGATGCTGAGGCACGAAACATGACTTCGTTAGCAAACCTTGTTTTTTCTCTCTCTTTTTTCCACTGCCGCGGATAACTGAGGCAGCGCAAAGATGTTCCCACAAACGAAAAGGCACGTAAACAGGCGTAACTCACTTCCACCACAGCGGATTAAAAGCAATAGAGGCCGCGGACACTGTTTTCACCCAAGCACGACGGCAAATCAGTCACGGCGTTCTCGTCATCTGTGCGCAACACTGTCACACCTATTCTCGCTCGGCGGCGAGCAAGGCTCCATGCAACTCACCAAGCAGGCTTCTCTTGTCGAAATCGACATAGTCGATGAGATTGCCCAGAGACGACGTCATGGTGGACAGGGTGTGAGACTGCGGCAAACGAAAACAAAAACCACCTGTCACAAGAAGCGGGAAAACATGCGAGGCACTAGACAATTGATTGAGCGAGAGGGCGATGCTCAACAGGACAGAAGTCGTGCTGGTTTGGTGACGCAGGAGAGCGAAAAATGGAAAATGAGGATGAAAGAGATGGAATGAGGAAGCTGCGAAAATGTAGACGAGAGCCAAGGTAGCATTAGCATTAGACGAGCCGTGGCAGCTTGACGTGCCCAGAATGCCCTTGTTTGGCTGGGCGTGGCCATTGATTGGCATTTGATGGGCAGGCCGCAGCGCCGCGAGTAGGCGAGCCTGGCGTCATCGGCGGGCAGCTCCATGTCTCGAGCTCACCAGCGCGGCGCGACACTGAGCTTCCTTCGACTTCACTGGAACGGGCGCTAAGCGGGGCCACCCGGGTGCATGTCACCAGACTGGACCTCCAATTCGTTGAGGAGCTCCGCCGTCACATGCCGCAGCAGCTTCTTACCTTTTCGCCTGCGTGAATACGAACAGAAAGGCGGCCGAGCACCCTTGGTACCCCGCGTAGTTGATTGAATTCTATTCCATCGCGTACGGAGTATACTCCAAACACAACATGTATGCCATAATTTCAAATACTAGCTACAAAGCTCAGATTCGTGCCTCTGTGGCCGCTTGCTTCGGGTTGCGTGGAGGCTTCCGTCCCGTTGTGGAGAAGCGCCGTTGCAGTGTCCACCGTCACGAGTTACAACGCATCCTCACCGGTACGTATGTACTGCACATGAGTACCTACCTAGGTAAGTACTTAGGTAGGTACCTACCTAGGTAGGTATGTACTCCGTATTCCTCAGTCACTCGCGCCTGGAAGGGAGGAGATATTTGATTTGGACAACTCTAGGTTTTCTCTCGGCGAGGCAGCAACAGGGCAGTCGCTGCTACTACTAGAGCGCAAGCCATCCATTGGAATCACTCAGTCGACATTTCTGCCAAGCCCAGTGCGATGAAATCTGGGCCTTGGCTGCCCAACTCAGCCATTGATTTATTCATCCTCCCCGAGAGCAAGAAATGTACATACTATCCTAAATGGATTGCTTCGTGGATATCATTTATCTATAATTGCCGGGGCCATTATTTCACAGCCGAAACTCTAGTATCAGTGCTAAGCCCGACGGTTTCTTGTCTTCTTGCCCGTCGTCGTCGTATCTTCCTCCTCCTCATCCTGGCCCTTCTTTAGATCTTCCGTCAGGCCCCATTCCTCTTTATCGTACCAATCTTCGCCGTCAGACATGTCCCGGTTCGGCCCACAATGTGCCTCTGCTTTGGACCAGCGAAGTACATTGCTGCGCAATCTTTCTGCCCGCAACAAGCCTTGGTGTAGCCTCATTGCCCCTCTGGCCACTTCTTCTTGTTTCTGCACGTACAGTGCCAGTAACCGTCTGATATCTTCTGCTTCATTTTCCGGAATACCCATGTTCCTATCAGGTTTGGCACCTGATGGCGGAAGGAATATTGGGTGGATGAAGGACGGTGATTTTGATTCCGACGAGAACTGTCCTGCGGACTGCTCCTTCGGTGCGTCACTTGTCACACCCCCGTTATTTCCATTTTGTTTGCTTTGGGCATCGCCGTTGCCATTTATGTTGGCAATCCCATTGTTAGCTTCTGTTTCATTTGGGCCCCGGTCAACTTTCACCCCGACCGGCTCACTCTTAATTGCAGCTTCCTTGTCCTTGCCTTTTTCTTCTTCATTGTTGGCGGCGGTCTCATCCATCATGGATACGTCGGCGTCGGCAGTGGTGCCAACTAGTTGTCCCTGCCGCCCATATACCGAGCTTTTGGAATTATAGGGATTTGTATCTCCATTCACTGCTGCAACCGAAGATCTTGCCGAGCCGCCGCTATTCGGCAAGCTCTGTAGGAAACGGGCCACATGCTCGTCTGAATATAAATCGATGTCGTTCGAGCCAATCATCATTTCGCAGGGCATCCAGACGCCGTCGCCACAAAGCGAAGTCCATAAGTGCCTCACCTCCCATAATGATTGGTTCTCTTTCCGCATGAGTGTACAGCTTTGGTTGATGAGCTCATTGAGAGTCTTCGAGGTAAAGGCCTTGGAAAGTGTCGGGTGGTGTGGCAATTCGGTCGACGCTGTGAGGGGAGCTAGAATATCTGCAAAAATGTCAAAAATGTTGGTCACGATACTTGGCTCTCGAAAACGCCAGTGGCCGACTCACGTTCTAGGCGAATGTTGGAGTACGGATTGAGCTCGGCGGCGGCCAATTCAGCGACTCCTACTCGGTCGTCGTCATCGTCGCTCGTAATCTCATAGCCTTCATCGTCTACCAAAGGCGGGTTGCGATACAGGATATTCCGTCGAACGCCGGCGTAGTCGACAGCCTGGGGAGCGACCCGTTAGGAGACTGCACAACGACAAGTCGTATTTCGGAGGAGCGACACAATGATGCGTACCTCTTTATATGCACTGGGGCCGGCGGCCGGCGCCAAATGCCCTTTGTGTACAAATCGTGCCCTCTTCTGGAGCTTGTGGCCTCGATTGGTAAAGCTGTCGATTTCGGAGTCGGAATCTGACTCTGCCAGCAGACTTTTGGTTAGCTTTGTGCCAGCGCGCAGAAAGACTGGTGTTTTCATAGGTTTCTCACCATACGCCTTCCTCTTAAAGGCCTTTTTCATGCCGGCTATTGTCTCGGCGAACAGGATCTGCTGTGTCGCCATGTTGGGCGGCTTGTCTGATTTTGGAGAATTCGACCGCCCGAGAGTGAAGACGCCAAGAAGACTGGCGCCAGATCCGTGATGGGAAGCACAGCGCTGTGACCGTAAGCTGATGTGCAGGTAGTACCCGGCAGCCTTAAAGTGTGAGATAACTCTTCATTCGCTATGACGATGGGTATCAATGTTATAAAATCGCAAATTAACGTCTGCGGAGGGCGCTGTTCATGAGAGGGAGCAAATTGACTGCGTGACCACCAAAGCGAGGGGGACTGGCGACCACTCCCACAGCGGCAAAAGCAACTTTCGCTAGACGCAGAGGAGCTGAGCAGCGACCAGTCAAGCGGCTGGCGTCTAGGTACGTACCTCCTTCCTACAGAGCACTTGCACAAGCCCGGCCCATTTTGAGAACTGTGACCAATTAAAAGCAGGGACTGTCGGGCCATTTTTTTCGCCGACGCCGGAGGTAGACTCTGCCGATATTTAAGCGGCACCGTTCCTGGACTGGGTACGTACGTCACCTTTCCTCAGCGCCTAGTCTCTGACATGCCCTACGACACTCTAGGAGAAGAAATGACGATATATACCAGTCACCCAGTATCCATAAAATACTGCCCTGTAATAAAATCATGCAGCATGCAATGGCCCAGTGCCGCATTTAGTTTGTGTGCCGCCTCCGACAAGCACTTGTGGAAACAAGCAGCAAGACACTTCACTACCCGAGGTACTTAAGTAGGTAAGTAGCTATGTACATGATGGTCCTATGAAGAATTACGATGAGAACAAGTATTTAGCTCGGATGGTTGCGTAATGCCTTTAGGTTTAACCCCATTTCGCTTCATGTTGAAAATAAGCCTCAATGTCGCAATAATAAAGAATGGGCATAGGAAGCCAATATATACACAAAAAAGTCAACTGAAAAGGTGCACTCGTCCGAATTTCGCCGCGTAACCCCCTTTGTCCAAGAAAACGGTATATAACTTCAAGCACATCAATGCCATCGTATCAAAACATCCAATACCTCCTACAAAGGCTTCATACGCTTCAGACATCAGACGCAGCATCTAGCAATCATGATCCTCCCTTCACTGGATATCATGTACGTCAAACGCACCCCGGCATAAAAAAGGGGGTGAAGGGGGGCCCTTTTGTCCATAGATCACGTCTGGCACCTACGCGCGCATTAGTACAGTGGCCAAGTGGTTCTGTTCAATGTTGTCGCTTACACTTCGGGAGAGTTTGTAATCTCCTCAAATGCCTGCAGGATATCAAATCCCATCGCTACGAGTGGCTCAAACGCATCGTCCACAATCTGTATCTGTTAGAGAGCTATCGCAAATTTAATCAATGGCGAAAAGTACGCACCCAACTCAAAACGGCCTTGGAGGCTCTGTGGCCCTTGCTTTGGCGAACACCCATGAGAGCCAAACCCTGCAGTACTAGTGTTGCCTGCGGCGTTGACGGCACGATTGGGGCAATTATGCCACCAACATCCTCGCGATCAGAGAGCAGAGGTGGAATATATGTCACCAGAGGACTACCTTGTCGGCAGATTATGACTGTGCCAATCAGATTGCCAGATGGATCCTTGGCTCTGACAATACCACATGTTTTATTCTCTGAGAGCGCATACGTATAGAGCTCAAGAACCTCTGGGTTAGCATTCGCACGAACATGATGCAGTACACTTTCTGCGTTTTCCAGGCCATGAATCAAATCAAAGCTGATGTTGGCCCTCTGAATGCTTTGCAACAGTCCTTCAGGGGCGACCCAATTTGGCAGATCGTGAATGATCATATTCGTCAAACGCCTAGGGAACTGTGTGTCCCATCCGCTGTTGCTGAACCACTCCTTGACGGTGTTTGCTTCAGGATCCAGAGGGATCCCAAGGAAAACTCCGGGAAATGACATTCCGACTTGGACCTTCTTGAGACCTCGCTGCTGACTGAGGCTCTTCAATGCTCGCCGATGAAGAGATCGCCCAATAGAAACGTTTCGCTTGCTCGGATCGACCAGCAGAGCCCCAATAATACCGACGCCCGCAATGAAGTATGTAGCAACAAATCCATAAAGAGCCCCCGTGCTGCTGTTCCTCACTACAAAATGACTCTCCTTGATGTTCGGTAGGTGTAGTTCCATGGAAGCGGCTCTTGTGGATTTGAGGAAATGAAGGTCAGGCGCACTAGCTCTGTGAACGGCTTTCAACAAATCCTCCAAGCCGGCATAGTCGCGAGCTCGGTCATATTCTTCGACGAGCCAGTGCTGTCGGGATTTGAGAACCTTTTTGCTCTTGCGAAGAGTCCCGGGCATGCTGCCAATGGGGGTAATCTCGCCAACGAGAACACGGACCAAAGCAGACATGGCATCTTCCGTAAAGTCAAAAGTGCAAATATACGTGCCAATCGATTTGTCCATAGCGAAGTCGTACGGGGAGCTCACAGCAACTACAATCAGCTGCTTCTTGTTTCCCCTGCTGCGGTGCATCGAACACATCATGTCCACGTGCTTTGTAAAACCTGCCTGGTACATGTTGCGGTTGGCATCGGCCGTGACGATAATGATGCAAGACGCCCTAGCGATAAGGTTTTCATGAACTGGAATTGGAGTTAGGCACTGGCAATGCACCTGAAAAGAACTGCAAGGGGATGAAAATTTTCCTTACCCGGCCTTACACCATTTGCTGTATAACTGGTGTGAAGCAGTTTTTCATTGCGATACCTGGCGAGGTTTTTTCCAAACTCACGGAACACCCCTTCACCGCTCATTATGGCACTTCGTTCGCGGTCTTTATGTGCCCAGGAATCATGCTGTGTTGGGGCTTGCGACCAAGTCTTCTTAGACTCAAGCAAGCTCTTGGTCATAGCCGAGGCAGGTAAGGGCTTTACAAGAGGCGTAAGCAATAAAAGCTCTTCTCCGGGATGCATGGAGCTGGACAGAGGAAGCATCTTCTCTTTATCCCGAATAACGGTAATGGATTCATCATAAGCTCGGCGAGATAGCGACACGTGCGATGGGTGCAGCTGGGAGAGAAGTGAGATGCCTGGAGGATTGAGAGCCTTTGCCCAAGAAGTACAAGTCGACTTGAGATGTTGAACTCGTCTGATGGATGTGAAGATGCGATCTTTTGTGATGATGCCATTTTCGTAACCAAGCTTTAGACCCTTGATCGCTTCGAGCTGGACATCATAAGCACGGCATAGCAAAACAAGATCACAACCCGCTTCGACCGCCATGACCACACCGTTCTGTACGCCCAAATCATGACTGAGCGCCTCCATTTCCAGACATTCGGAGATGGCAACTCCTTTGAACCCCAGCTCGTTGCGGAGCAAATCGTCGACAACTTGGTCGGAGAGACATGCATGACCAACGTTCATAGATGGGTTTGATATACCACATCCGCCAACAAACATGGCATCGAGCTTGCCAGTTGCAATCGCATTTCGAAATGGAACCAGAGCACTGAGGCTCAGCTCTTCCAATGTCTGGGTAATAACTGGAACAGCGGAATTGGAACCTTGAAAGTCTAAATTGCCATACGAAGGGAAATGCTTTCCTGCGGCAGCAATACCGGCGTCGCGAATACCATTCAATGCGGCAAGGCCATATTGTGAGGCTTCCTGGGGGTCGTCCCCGGTGGAACGAACACCGAGCGGCTGGTACCTCGCATTGTTCAGAACATCCAAGACGGGACCAAGCATGAGATTGACACCGCAAGCTGAGATCTCGGAAGCCGTGGCCTTGTAGATTTCGTAGGCCAACTCGACGCGTCCAGTGGCGGCAATGCCCATGGCGCTTGGAAATTGGCAGACATAGTCTTCGTCAAAAAGACTGTTGACACCTCCATTTTCCTGGTCCACAGCGATGAGAAGTGGTTGAGGATGGCCGGCATTCTTGGCTATGGTCTGCAATTCCTGGACGAGCTTGGCAGTCTCTTGGGCAGCTAGTCCTTGGAGTTAGTACAGTTGGCGATGAAAATATAGCATATAGCTACACATGGGGGTAATAGATGTAGGGCACATCGCATGGCTGAGATGGGACGTGTTTTTTTCAAACCAGCAAGCACAACAGGCTGGGTTTCCACAGCCAGCAACGGAATAAGAGAGACGACAAAGGGGTCCGAACGAACATTTCAAATTCTTAGCCGTGAGAATAATGGACCCAAGATGGTGATCTTCAATAAGACTTTTGATCTGAGGGGTAACTTCAGTGCCATCCCAGCCCATAATCAGCATCTGCCCAACAGCCCTGTGAAGCGTTAGCCACGGCAGCATTGAGAAATTGAAGCAGACATTGGGCCATAGTACCCAACAAAGGACAGGCTCTACTCCGTACACAGCACAGATATCTGATTAAAAAGAACATACCAGTCGAGGTTCTGCCACAGTGGGTCCAGGTCGCTCCCATCAGAGCTTGAGCTGGAGTTTGGCTTCTTGGGGTTGAGGTTGGCAGCAGCCATGGTGAATGGGACGGGGACGGGGACAGGGACGGCGACTGCGGCTTTGTTCACGTTGATACACTCATAGTAGCCGTCCGGCTTGCGGAACGATGGACAATTGATGACGGACAATGGCAATTGGCAGTCGGCAGTCGGAAGCTGCAGGACAGCTCTGCGAAGCTCGACGATGTTGCAAACGGGCTGGCAAGGACAGGCGCGTGAGAACTAGCGGACAAGTGCTCGGCAGATCTGAGCGTGTTGGCGCAGTCTCAATCTACACTGGGGTTCAATGTTGGTTGGCCGAGATGTTCAATGTTGGTAAGCCGTCTCCAGCTCCATGTCGAGCCAGAAGTATCGATAGGTCGGGACGTGTTGGGAGGTCTGGGGTTGAATGGCCGGTTCAACGTCGGCCGCCCAACAGTCAGTCTGGGGAGAGTGATAACATTACAGGCCACATGCACATGCAGCCAGCAGCAGCGGCCCAGGCTACCCTGTACCATCCGTGTCGTCGAGTGATGGCCAATGTCGTCTGGGTGGCTTCAGTGGGACTCTGCCTCTCTCAAGTGGCTGGCATAGATTCTTCATCAAGCATCATGTTCCGGCCAGGCTTCCAGGATGCTTCGCGATTGACGGCTTCTCCACTAGCATATTCGGAGCCTCAATCTGGGACGGGGGGCGACTCGCCGGCTTTCGGTTTCCACGCGACGCCGGCGTGGATCAACGAGACACAGGAGTGGCCAAGTTTTTTTAGTGTTTTTTTTGCCCTTGTTCTTAATTGGAGATGGACTGGGGAAAGAAGGAAGGAAGGGGGGCCATCTGGGATGTTGTCTTGCAGCCGTGACAAGCGGCAACGTGCAAAAGTCAACGTTACATGCATGTGGGCCAAGCCATGAATCGCTCGACGTCTTGGGATCTGCTTGCTGAGCAGTGACAGCTACAGCGGGCCGCACCCCTCCATGCAGCCTGGTACCTAGGAAGATTCCATCAATTGATTGACAGTGCCATCGACTGCTTCTTAGTTCCGACTTGTGGTGCTTGCCGGCTGATACACTCTCAAGGTTTTTAGCCTCGATGCATGTATGGCACCGCTGATGGTAGATGGCGCTGCTGCAGCCGTTGCAGAGAAACAAAAGCTTTCAATGTTCCTCTTGTCCTTTCCCATCCCGGCATCTCCGCCCTCGCCGCTGCCAATGACTCCGCCTAGCAGCCAGCCTTGAGCCATCGCATGGCACCGTGACAATGCTCATGCAAACTTGTCCCATAATAAGTGCGCTTGTAGCAGTGTTTCATGGCTTTGTCGTTACCGTCAGAGCCTACCGCCGCACCCTTCCTGGCCTCGTGCCCTGACCACTGGCACTGGGTGTGTCTCCATCGGAATCGGCGGGGCGCAACACTGAATATCTCGGACTAGTAACCATGAGGTGATGGCCGAACGGGTCAACGGACTCTTATAACTGTCATCGAGCTGTAAAGTAGAATCTGGATGGTAGTCACTTGACGACGCTCGGGGAGAGCATTCCATTCCGAAGCTCAACTGCCGTTCACTGTATCATGCCGATTCTGAACTTTGCTGCCCTTCAACTTTCTTCCCTCGATCCCGTCTTCTCCGTCCTTCCTTCCCTCGCTTGATCACAACAATCCTAGGCCCAGATAGAACCATTTCACTTTTTACGCGCGCCCTCCTAGAACAAACCATGCCCATCGCCCTATCTCCTCCGACCCGGCCCAAGAACGGCTTGACCAAATTTACCAACTGCCGGCTGGTCAAAGGCGATGCGTTGGTTACCGAGGACCTTTGGGTCAGCTCAATAACGGGCAAGATCATCAACAGCCAGGCCACCTTCTTCGATGAGTTGAATCTTCCCGATAAGACCATCGATCTTGGTGGCCGTATTATTTCCCCCGGCATGATCGAGTGCCAGCTCAACGGAGCTTTCGGCTTCAACTTCTCCACGCTGCTCGATGACATGTCTCAATATGGCAAGAAGGTCAACGAAGTGAACAAGCTGCTCGTCCAGACCGGCGTTACATCATACATCCCGACCATTACCAGTCAACGGCCAGAGCTATACCAAAAGGTGGGTTTTGGCTCATCCTGCATGTGCCTTTTGCGACCAGGGCGTAATTAAGTCGTCCCCTTGCGCGCTCGACACCAGAAAAAGAAAAGAAGAAACCCCGGAACTTAAACCCGAACTCACGTCGTTGGCCTGCAGTAAATATGCAAAAACACTTCAAGTAATTAAAAAAAAAGCCATGCACTGCTAACTGAACCCTTTTTGCCACAGGCCCTCCCCTTCCTTGGACCATCTGGAGCAAACAGAAATGCACACGAAGGTGCCGAATCACTCGGTGCTCACTGCGAAGGACCATTCCTGAATCCTACAAAGAATGGAGTCCACAATATCGACGTGCTCATAGAGGCACAATCATTCACTGATATTGAGGCTTGCTATGGCGCTGAGAACTTGCGGCCTCAGAGCGAGGGTGAACCGATCCCAATCAAGATGATTACCGCTGCCCCCGAGCGCGGGTCGATGATGAAACTCATCCCTGAGATTGCATCGCGAGGCATCATTTATTCTGTTGGCCACTCCGAGGCCACGTATGAGGAGGCGTCTGAGGCCGTGGGCCGTGGTGCGACCATGATCACCCATCTTTTCAACGCTATGCGGCCTCTTCACCATCGTAATCCCGGCATCTTTGGTGTTCTTGGCAAAGCCGAAAACCTGGCACGTCCCTACTTTGGCATCATTTCTGACGGAATCCATCTTCACCCGACAACCATCAAGATCGCCTTCAATGCGCATCCTGACGGCTTCATCCTCGTCACCGACGCCATGCACCTTGTTGGCCTGCCCGACGGCGCCTACCCTTGGACCAACGGCGAACAGACGTGCAATATTATCAAGAAGGGATCCAAGCTGTTGCTGGAGAACTCGGATACCATTGCCGGAAGGTATGTTTCGAGAATGCCAGGATATTTGACTCGCCCCTTGTCGCCTTTCCCCTCATGTGGTGGTAATAGGGCGATGGCCGTGTTCCTCCTACATGCCCCGCTCACACACATATGTACATGCATAAATGCTGCAATGCACTCGCGTAATAAGCTAACAATTTTGGCACAGCTCCATCACGTTGCTTGAATGCGTCAATAACTTCCTGGAGTGGTCCGGCACGGGTATCCCTCAAGCTCTCAAGGCCGTGACCGCAACCCCCGCAGCCATGCTGGGCTTTCAGGGCATCAAGGGATCTCTGGAAGCCGGCGCCGATGCTGATCTCGTCATTTTTTCCGAAGAAGAATCCACGACAGGCTCTGGATCAAAACAGCTAGTCTTGGACGAAGTCTGGAAGTTTGGCGGTCTGCTGCACACGGCTAACCGCACCAAGGCTTTATGAATGAAAATAACGACATGAAAAGGACTGCATCAACTACCAATCTTTTAAAGCGAGACATTTCTCTGAAACAGTAACGAGCATTATGATCCGCCACATGGCCGGCCCGGAACAGCTCCGCAGAGAAGCTGATCCAGTCACGTAGACTTTGGTTTTGGGGAATTCACAATTGTACATAGTAGGTTTCAGCGCAGGGTTCCTCCCGATTTATTCGAGAAGAGCCAGGCTGATGGAGGTCGGGGTGATAGGAGCATGGAATATACCGGAACAGATCCAAAGAGGATTTGTTGGCAGCGCAAGCGCAACCATGGATCCAAAATATAAATTGGCGTATTAGTTACGAGTGTATTGCATTTATACAATTTATATTCACTCATAATTTGGTAGTGAGTATGGATTACAGTTTGTTTAATTTCAATCCTCCGTGCTTTTCTTCTGCCAAGTCTGCACGACTTCTTGCAACGCTGCGGCGATCGGAGCGGATCTTAGCGAGTCTCACTTTTGACAATGTCTCAGAACCAAAGACTTCTAGAAGAAGAGGCTGTTCGAAAGTTGGGTTTACTTTGCTGTCTGCGTATGCTTGTACATGTACCTGCCGCTTTGGCCTGGCCTCATTCCTGGCTCCACCAGACATCACAGACCTTGGCATATTCCCGGCCGCGGATCTGCAGTTTGCGCAAACAGGCATTCGGGCTAGATTGTGGAATAGCTATTGGTTTCACCGGCCTACCCTTGGCCATGTAACTGGCGATTTGCATATTGAGGCACTGGGCCTATGCAAACGGGCGTTGCTGCCGGCCGACATTGTAGATTATATCTGCGCAGGAGTGGAGGAGGCGTGCTATGTTAAATAGGCTGTACCAAACTTTGAACATTGGACAATGTTGCCGGACCCGTGACCTCCCGTCTTTACCAGTGGCAGTGGCATACTGAACCGTTGTGTCCGTGTCGCATTTTTGATAAGAAATTAAAGAAGCTGACACAAGGAGACAAAGATAATACATGTTTCTCCCTGCGCCGAATCACTGTGTGGAATTACAGCATAGTCCGGGGTTACAAACGGAGGTCACTGGATGGACGGGGATGCTCTAGCATCACCACAATGGGTTGTCGGACGACTGGTTTTTTTCTGGTTGGACTACTTTGGTTCCCGCCCGTCGCAACAGCACCAGACGTCCTGTGACCAAATTTAGCCATGTGTGAGCTGACTGTTCCTAGCTTGAGAAAGCGCCGCGCGTGGTTACAACTTACAAGTCAGGTACTCCGTAGTACGGAGTACCTAAGTAGAGAGTAATACAACTTTGGCGTTCTGCGTTGTAGTACTATTAGCTCAGCCCCATGCTTCTTTCCCCAACATTGCGAGAACAGTCCACTCGGCTGCAAACCTACAACCGATATTGTAAGGGTGAGATGAGAGCAAGTAACATTCAAGACATTGCGGGGAAGACCAGAAAGAATGGGGTCCATCGAGGTTGGGGTGACGATCTTGGCTGGCTGGTGTCATTGTCTCATTGCCGTCTGGGGAGGGTGTCGAACCAAGACTGAACTCCGTTCATTAGAGCACCAAGGCTGTCATGGCTGTTCTACCACAACCCTTTCCGCAAGGTGAATGCCCACAAGTGCGTTTCCGTCACCCTCATTTGCTGGGCAAGCTGCCCCCGTCGGGGCCACTACAGCCTTGCGCAGGACACTTGAACAGTTGTAGTCAAGTGTCGTTCGGTTCCCCAGCTTTGAGCAAACCCTCATCAGGGCGTTAGGAACGTGACAGGTTGTGTGTAACTTTGACTTGCTATGTTTAGGATTCGTGATGCGGCTGCTTGACCTCGGACGGCTGTTTTGAAAATCATGTCTTTTGGCGTGGCCGCAGAATCCCCAATACCCTCTCCTCTCCTCTCCTCTCCTCTGTTCGCAGAGACAACATATCTTTGGCTCTGGCCGGTGTCGTTGGCCACCAACGCGCCCTTGCAATCTGGCTCTTGCCGGGCCGTGGCAGGTGATTGAGTTCTCTTGGGTCTACTCCGTACAGAGGTAACTATTGTAGCGGCAAACCTGCAGCTTCGACTCGCAGCCAAAGGTGACCACCCTAGTGATCCCGCCGGACATGATCCTTTATCATGACCAATTTGGCCATTTTGAAGAAAAGACCCTGCCAACCCCAGTCAGTTCCATGGAGCTGTAGTTGACGCCACCGTTACCCTCATTAGAACCCATCCGCTCGACCGGCCCATTGTGGCGGCAGGTGCACGAGAGCACCCAGACAGGGAAACACAGGATAGTGAACGCCATTCGGCGCGAATGCAGAAGAGTAGCAAGCGAGCTGCACGAGAGTATGGGGAAGGCGGGAACATGCACGGAGTAGCCTGCGCGCGTGCCGCCTCATTCATAGTGCAGACAGAACTAGGAGGAGCCCGGACAGACTGGACCGGCCAGCCAAGAAAAATTCGCAGTCAAGACCAGAAACCAGTCGAGCATTTGAACAATGCACATGGAAGGGCAGGCACGGAGCTCTGGAGCGCACCTGCCTCTGACTCTGAGCAGGCCCCCCCAGGGCGTCTGCTCAGGTCTGGTGCTCAATTGTCCTTCAAGTCCGTTGGCCTGGTCAAGTGGTTTCGGTTTCGGCTGCACTGTGGCCGCTCAAATGCCCCGTGCCTGCTTGCTGGGCCGGCCAAGTCACTCGAACCAACATTCATTGCCGAATGCCGAATCTTGAATAGACAACTGTCAACAATGAGTCGCCTTCAGCACTTTTTATATTAATCTAGCAATCAAGACCATGACCAAAACGTCTCAGGCAGCTGGCCCAGTAGTCCCCACCCTCTGACCCAGCCACAGGAGAATTCCAGGCTCCATCCAGGTCGGTTATTGAACTGCTTTCAAGCATTCGGGCGCTGTTGGTGGCTCGCCGGCCCCCCACAATTGCACCGCACACAACGGAGTAGGCAGCAAATGGCAGCTGGCAGTTGGCAGCTGGCAACTGGCAACTAGGCGACACCACCACACCGGATCCCGCATTCTGGCATTCTAGCTGCAAGCCGCCCTTCAGTCAACTTTCTCTGCACGCACAGGCACACCATATCGCACCACCACGCTGCACCTGTTCATACCACTTCTCAAGACTCGTCTCCGTCTCCTCACCATCCTCCCCGCCGACGCCATCTCTCTTCACCTCGATTGCCGGTGCCGGGCGCCTGTTATCACTGCTACTCCGGTTCTCATCTGTCTTATCTTTACTCCCTGTCTGTTGATTGCTGTGCCCTTGGACTGTCGACCCGTGCCGGCCACATTCGATCCTTATCTAACCTTAGCCTCCGACCGATTCCTCCTTTGTTGCAGGTTCGTCAGCAGTCAACGGTTCTGCCGAACGGTCGGTCCCTAACGACATCCCGCCCATTTTCTCCCACTTCCAAGTCAATCTCCTCGGAGACACCCATCACCCACCAGCATAAGGTCTTTGCTCTATCGAAACGGAAATCGTCACCCAACCACTCTGAGCGCAAGACTGACGGCGGGGCGAACGATGCCATGGCTACGTTCAACTCTATGCCGGCCATGTCAGCCGCTGCGCCAAACGAGGCAATGGGCTTGAATCACCCTGCACCAGGTCAGCCCATGACAATGGAGCATTTTGATCAAGACTTTAATTTTGACGAGGCTGTCCTGTAAGCTGCTCCTTTCTTGCTGGAGACGACCTTTATCCAGAAAATGCAGTAATGTGAATTGCTACTGATGTTGTCGTAGGGATGGTGCTCCCTTACCTACCCTCCCCTTCACGCCGGCGTACGATTTTGACAATTTTACCACAACTTTTGAAGACCCATTCGCCTATTCCAGTCGGGCATTCGAGCCCACCCCAAATCAAGATGCCCTCAACGAGGAATCATCGCCACAAGAGCTGGACAATAAGTTGCTGGGCTTTTCAGACCCAATTATGAATGCCACAGTTGTCGACAAAACTGGCAAACTTGCGGAGGTGAATATGAGCGCCGAATTATACGGCATGTTCTTCGTTGCAGAGGACGTGTTCGGTGGGGACAACTCAGGACGTCCTCTTGAGCTGACTTGCTATCGCCGCAATCTATGGCAATGCTCTGGGCAGATAACGCTACCGAAGAATCTCTCACATCTCATGGACGAGCGAGGTCGCCAATTTTCAATTGATGAACTGTCGGCATCAATTACAGCAGTAGAATCGATTGAAGGAAAATCCACAGAAATCATTTCCATTCCCTGGAAGAGTTCAAGTTCTCAAGCGCCCGAGGAGACCAAGGTTGCGGCTGCGCCGCCTCAAATACCCCTGGATTTGAGCACGGCTCAGGAGGTTGATGCCGTTCGAGTTACCCTTCCTGTCTCTTGGAAGCGTTTACAGTTCAAGCACGCAACGGCCAACAATGGACGGCGGAAGGGGCTTCAGCAGCATTACGTAGTCCAAATCAATCTTGTGGCTAAATCCAAGTCCAACGACATGATGAAAATCGCCGAGATTCAGTCAGGGCCCGTTATTGTTCGAGGGCGTAGTCCGCGCAACTTTGACAGCAGAAAAGATGTGCCTCTCACTGGGGAAAAGAGATTGGAGAAAAAAAATACAGCGAGTTCTGATAATACTGCTTTAAAAATAGAGCGGGAAAATATCCAAGCCACAATGCAGAGATTCCAACCCTTGGGTAATGTAGCGGTATGTTCGAAATACATCAACAGCCCCGAGCGAATTGTTGACAAAATCAAAGCTGATAATTCCACAGACCCCAGCCGAGTGGTCAGCAAATCCACAGCATGTGTCTCATCCGAACAGCCAAAGTCCTCATCCAGCCAAGAGAATGGCCGTATCGCCCACCGTTGCTCGACCACCCGTGCCCTCCTGGTCTGCAGACGGAAAGAGCATGACAACTGGCCAACCACATCGAGGCTCGCTGAGTCGACAAAACACGGCCGTGCCTATCAATCTCTCTCTGTCCGAGGATGAGAAGAGCCCCAATCGGTCCAGTGCAGAGCTGCAAAGTCCTCAGATGGGCAAGTCCCATCCCGTTTCAGGGCAGAACGCTGGCAATAGCCCTGTCGATGATCCAGATCCTCTTTATGAATACTTCCCTCTAACACTAGATGACTGGTATGTCTCATTATTTGCCTGGATTTACCTGGCTCGCACATTATATCCCCGACATGCTAACAGTTGGACTCGTTAGGATGCCACCGATCGATGCGGTCTACCGACCGCATGTGGTCCATCACACTATTGTGCCTCCCGAGATCAAAGCTCAGCAGTCACAAAGTAAGGCAAAACGGTATTTTTCGGCCGAATAGGAGTGCCTTGGGCTATGCTCAAGATGAATGACTGGGTTCACGACCCTGCTTCCGTAACCGGGAGATATGAGGAATGATTCACCCTCCATATCAGAGCAACCTTGTACCATACTATACCACTTGCGTCAACACGTGTTGGGTTTTTTTTTTGTTTGATGGCTATAACACGGCTGGCAGCTGGGCAGTGCGCCGCCGCTGATAAAAAAAGACACAGCGTGCCTTATTATACCCAGGGGGGTTCCTTCACATTATTTCTTCTTGTCCATCAATTTTCGGGAGAATGATTTTTTTGGGTAAATCATGACAGAATAAAAGGTCATAACGATTACAATTGCTTGGTCGATACGTACCGTGATGCCATCCATGATGTCCGGGTGGACGATTGCGCAGGACTGCTTTGCTTGCCCTTGACAAGCAAGTATATGTGCACAACTTCATTTGGCTGCCAAGCCCCTGCACAACTAACATAGCATGGCGACGAGCCCTGTGCACTTGATGCAGCAGCCCGACTAGAGCTGCAGAACTAATGTATGCATGTTTGTGTTGTCAACGGTTGGTCGAAGCGTGTGGTTTGGGTGATATGTGTAAAGAAAGCAGCGATTGGCCCACGAAGCGTTTGTTGTCTTCTTCTTTCCTGTTTGGTCGAATGCGTTGTCAGTTGAGCTCACGCCGTACAAGAAGGATGGATGTTTCGAAACCCCCCACCAGCACAGTAGTTGCCCTCCAGCCTTCCTCCTTCATTTCTCGGTGTTGTTTTGCCACATTCGTAACGAACCAACCTACGTACCTACCTAGGTAGGAACTTGGAGGTAGGTACTTGAAATGAGCGGCCGCGATAGTGCCGCGTCGGTCGATGAGTGGAGTGACCTGGACGAAGAGGAGGCGGGTCTGCGAGATGCCTTTGTGGCTTCGGTGCGAGAACTATACGATGCGGGAACACCGTTCTTCACCAAGGAGATGATTCAACTTGCGCAAGATCAGGTTGACGAGATTGCGGAGGGCTCAGTATCAACAGAAAAAGTAGAGCACCTTGGTTTTGATGGTAAAATGCATTCGCAATCGTTACCGCCTTCGTATTTTTTTGCGAAAATAGATGATGGAATGTAAGAGCAAGTCGCCTAGCTTGGTGCCTTAGTTTAGGCAACCTCATATCAACGAGGCCTTCGTGCTGATACTTGAATATAGCCTCGTCCCCATTGTTGGGTACAAGTCGTTCGAGGCATTAACCATATTGCCGCCACATCGTGTAGGCGACAACTTGTTTGTTTCCGTCAGCGTCTCTGGCTCATACAGGTTGATAAATAAACCGCCGGATATTTTGCAAGATGATGCGAGGTGTGCATTCGACCAGTATTTCGACCTATGGCAACAAGGCAAGGATTGGGCAGACCTGAAGGAGCGGATTCGGCCGCATTTTTCAACGCTGCCAATGACCATTGACAAGATTATCGGGTTTGGGCTCGGCGTTCTGACGATGGAGGCCGGTCGTAACGATGACGATGGATGGGTCAAGCGCTGTAGCGAACAGCACGCCTTGATGCTCACGTTGGCCAAGATGCTTCAAGAACACACTGGCAACAGTGTCAAGTGTTTTGCCCAAGATCCCGCATATTCCAATACTTGCAAGGACATTCTCGGCAAGAGAGACGTTGACATTGTCCACGGAGACACGGGGTTTCTTTTGGTGGACGAGAACTCCATTGTATTGTCGTTTAGTCCCAATGTCCCCGTTCGACAGGTGATTGCGGATCTGGCTCGTCCAGCAATGATGGTATGCAATATGATTTCCAGGCCCACGACAAGGGAGTGGCGGCGACGGGGAGGTGTTTCCATCAGGTACGGTACTTGCCTTTTGTTTCAATCTCATTGTCTTGTCCATTCTTACCTGTCATGTTGACCGGCGATGCTAACGTGGGCATTTCCGATAGCCCTTTTACCACAGATCCTGTTTCACCGCGAGTCATGGCCATGAAAGAAGAATACATCGAGTTACCCATCAACACTGTCAAGTCCCTCGGAAATTCCGCAGTTTACATACGGAATACAAAGACCTCAAAACCGCCCCAAGGTCAAAGCACCTTTTCGTAGCGATGCATCAGGCGTTTCTATATAGGAGGGGCCGCTAGTTGTCTCCTCGGCTGCGAAAGGGGGGGCAGACAAGCATTATGCAGATTGGGTTTCATATATCATCATAATTGTGCCTTGAAAGGCAATAATTCAGAGAAGTGTTAAATGAACCATATATGTATGTCATACCAGTGATTACACTAATGAGACAATGTATCCTCATCACAAAGCTTCAGCCCAGGTAATAACAGCTGATGTATGATCGAATGTACCAGTGCCAACTACAAAACATCAGAGCGACATGTCTCGAACCGCGCGTAAACGTGATATCGTACAACAAGTGCGCTTCCACGTCGGCCACAGCCCAATAGTACACACCATTTCCCCCTTGTCTCTCGTCATAGACACCATCGGTGTGCGCCGACATGGCCAGACGGCAACGCATAAACGTGCCGCCCCTTGTTCTCCATCTCCCGCCTCCAAAGCCCAAGTAACGTCACAGGAAGACGGAAACACGCCGGGAGCCATTCCGAGCAAGACGTCCGTTTTTCCGTCAGAGTTTCCGTCATGGACTCATGGCACAAATAATTGAGACGTCAAGCCATAGCCGCAACCTAATACGGAGCAGAGGGGATCCACAGGCCTGTCAAACAAGCCAGGACCACATGCAGTTGAGAGCACTCAATGTCGAGCTATCGGGCCGCGTGCCTGTCAGTTCTCAGCATTTCTCTGTCTTGGACCCCGGTTTCCGCGCCAGCTACTCCGTGGTCCTCACCTCCTCACCTCCTCACCTCACATCCTCACCGGGTCAGAAATACACTGCTGCCTTGACGCGGTCCACTGTGGATAGGCTCCTCCCGTCCATTTCGACCTTGGTTCTACCGCGTCTCTGCCCAGCGCTCAGCGTACTAGTAGTACCGAGTATTGCGTTTATACCAGCTCGCGGCCCTATCCTGGAGGCAAAGGGCCCAGGCGCCTGTCCGATGTCGGGACGACGTCGGCTCAGACTTCGGATATGCAAGCGATGGAGCACAAGGACCGGGGAAAGAGAGGGGCGGCAATCGAAGCGACGGTCATGCAACGAGCCAAGTGATCATGATATCACAAGCATGTCCCTTGTCACGGACCTCGTGCGCATCAAAGGGCTCGTGGGAGGCCGAACACTTGCATCCGCCGCGGGCTGTTTTAGTCCCAGTAACCTTGTCGGCCGTGAGTTGCTGACGACTTTGGCATATATGTATTTGTTTTATATCGAACGAGCGTTGATTGGAGATGACAGGGTTACAAGGTTACATTAATCGTGTCGATTTCATGCAGGGCCCAGGGATGGATCACCTCCCGCATGCCTTTGAATGTGCGCAGGTCCAATTGATGTGTTTGACCTACTTTTTCATGATACGTAAAGATGCTCTTTTAGCAGGAAAATCAACTAATATATTTTTATATACTTACATGTCTTGAAAATTTTGAAGTACTTTTATTATTATATAGTTTCTTAGTAAGTATATAAGTACTTATTCTTAGCTAGAACCCTGGTCTGTTACAGAAATTAGACCTGCGCACATTAAAGGGATTGGGGATTGTACATGCATTCATGGGCGCACAAACTTTTAAAGTTCAAGCATAAAATTGGGGTTAATAATGCATTTTATTCCTGAAATCTTTTCAAGTCGTGCGTGGTGCGTACCGTTGCAACCAAACTGATGGTATCTAATGTTCTCATAAGGGCTGGTTAAGCCAGCAAGCAGTCTTGACTCTGTGCTTTAAACGAAAGACAGGAGTGACCCCTGCGTCTGAAAGATGGACAGGCCCAAGGTGTAAAATGAGTCTTGGAGCCGAAAGAAAAAAGAACAAAAACACAAGAGAGAATTTCAATACACAAAAATATCACATCATGGGTCTCTAGGTCGAGGAACAGAAATCCAAGCCCTCTTCGTTCTTCAAAACGATGTAATCATCAACTAAACTCCAGCGCCGTTTTGGTGTGCCGCTTTTCAAGCACTGATTGCGTTTTGTGGCAGAGCGGCCTGCTGCTGCTCAGGATTGGGCGTTAGCCGCTTGTTCAAGGCAGGCTCGGGAATTCGAGAAGCCATTCGATCCGGAACCAACTCGGGAGAGACGGATCGAACGGGGTACTCTGTCGCAGGCGTAGCCCGGAGAAGCCGCGAGGTGGTAGGCTGGGGAGCGAGGATAGTAGGAGAGTCGACTTCCTTGACTCGGGTCGTGGGAACGACTCCGTTCCCAGTGCGGACTTTGGAGGGCAGGATCTGCTCGAACCCAGCCTCCTTGGCGACCTTTTCGATGCTCTTGAAGTACTGCAGAGAATGTTAGGTTTCGGACTCTTCTGGCCTCCCACGAGGGCTGCTTTGTTGGGATGGGTTACCTTGACGGTTTTGACCTGGAGCTCGAGAGTGGCGTCCTCATCGACAACAATCATGGGGTGAGGGTGCAGCTGTAAGCTGGACAGAGTCCACATGTGGTTGACGCCCTGCTCGATGCATCTCTGCAAAGCAAGAGACTTTCGCTGGCCGAGAATAATGACGACGACCTCGCGGGCCTCGAGAACAGTCTGGACACCAACGGTCAGGGCCATGCGAGGAACCTTGTTGATGTCATTGCCGAAAAATCGCGAGTTGGCGAGAATGGTGTCGTATGCCAAGGTCTTGACCCGGGTTCTACTGGCCAAGCTCGACCCGGGCTCGTTGAAAGCGACGTGGCCGTCCTCGCCAATGCCGGCAAGGAAGAGGTCGATCCCGCCGACGGCCTTGATGGCATCTTCGTAGGCGACGCACTCGGCCTCGAGGTTCTCCGCATTGCCGTTTAAGATGTGCACGTTGGAGGGGTGGACATTGACGTGGGAGAAGAAATTCTTCCACATGAAGGAGTGGTAGGATTCGGCGTGGTCCCGGGGAATGCCCACGTACTCATCCATGTTGAAAGTGACGACATGCTCGAAGGAGATCTGTGTTGGACATGTTAGTCACGATAGCTTCGCAGCCAACGAACAAGCCGTGACTCTCTCTCAAATAATTACAAAAAAAAAAAAATAGTGCAAGCTGGCTTCATCGCACAGCTCAATCCATGCTTCTTCTTCTTCTTCTTCTTCTTCTTACCTCGCCAGCCTTGAATTTCTCAACAAGAATCTTGTAGACGCCCAGAGGGCTAGAGCCCGTAGGCAGACCCAGGACGAATGGGTTTTCCGCAGTAGGGTTGAAGGCCTTGATACGGTCGACAATGTAGTTTGCAACGTAGGTGCTCGCTGAAGTAGCGTCGTCGCGAATAATCAGTCTCATCTTGACGAGAGAGGTCCAAAGGCGGTGTGTGAAGCTTTGGGTTGGATGGACTTGGAATGGGAAGCGGGAGCTGTGTGAAGCTGTGTGTAAGTGATGTCACAAACTGCCAGCTTAAGAATGGCGGAGTGGTGAATCGGAGTAGATGAATAGGATAGGAAAAGGATGTCTAAGAAGTATGTAGTAATAAACGAAAAAAAAAGAAGAAGAAAAAATAGAGGACAGAGAGAAGAGCAAGGTTCAGCAAAGTCGGTTAAGATCGGTGGGAGGTGTAAGAGGTGGAAGATGATCATGGGCAGCGGACAACCTTAGAATGGTGGGCCGGCCGATGGATGCTTGGGCGCATTGCAACAGTACATCACTCACAAAGGCGACATGAAGCGAGGGCAATGGAGGCGTGTGTCATGGATTGGATGTCAGGATGTGCGGTCTTACTGCTCCGGGCAATAGCGACTCGACACCGATGATTCACTCTCAACTATGCACTCGATGCTCCGTTCTCTGTTCTCCGTTCTCCATTCTCCATGGAAACCCAGAGCTCGCGTCCAAATCCAGTTCCGCCAGTGCCAGTGCCAGTGCCAGTGCCTTTCTTCTTAGCTTCAATGTTCCTCCAGTCCGTCACTTGCCCCTACAAGCTCTCAGTGCTACCCATACCCCTCTGGCCAGATTGTCACAATGGCGGCAGCCGAGAATGTATGTGGGACGATGATGGCTTCTGTCATGGTTTGCTACTGTCGTGAGCCATGGCTGGGGCATATGGAGCCACGGGGCCGAAAAGGCCGGACCTAGACCCGACGGCGATTCCCAAGGGCATTTGCCAGGTGCCAGTGTGTCAGTTGCATGCAATGATGTCGTGGTGGAGCTGAGTGGCTTCCGAGAGACGATGGATGGAACGTCACTGCATGCTCTAGCGGGTAATTGTTGCAGCCCAGTCTGATGTGCACGTGCAAGCCTTCGACTCCTGGTCTCGTTCTGTGACTGTGGGGAGCACTGCCGTCTTGCTTCTCTCCAAGTTGCCAGTCTCTCCCCATATTCTCCCGTCTCCAGATCCTCTTCCTCAGCCGCCCATTACAATCAGTACACGCAGGTGCTGACTGTCCAACACAGCAAATGCTGTGCTGCAGCCGTCTTGGGGGCCGTCCTTTGGCCAATGATCCTCCCACAATCCATGCTTCATACTTCGCAGTGACTGAATAAGCCATGTCTTCTGGCTGTCTGGGGCACCGGTTGCTCCACTGGCAATCGCCGGATTAGTTCCATCATGACCGTGTGGCTCGCTGCCCCAAGAATACTCACTGCTCAAGACGGTCTTCACTGGAGTGCGGAGGAAACAACCACATGACCAAGTTGGGTCCTGCGGTTGGAGCTCCCAATTTCGAGGCTTGAAACGCAGGTCGTGAAGCCGCTAATCCGGACTGCGCTTGTGCTAGGCATGGTAGATCTTTTGTTGACCAATCCAAGGATGATATCGAGACGAGGCTGTTGCAGCCCATCATAGAGGGCGCCAGTGGTCCTATCTTGACAATATCATCTATCCATCAATCCACCTCCTATTCTCAATTGTTGGAGGTCGCCGACAGGCTTGTTGCTCTTCAGGTTTCCATCATGTCTCATGTTGGATTTTCGGTACCAAGAATATGTGCAATGGACCCTTAATGCAGCATCTAGGTATTGCACCATCCTCTCATAAAATGGTTCGGCATTGAGGCTCAATACTCCGCCTCCATTCACGACGCCTTCGAGTCTCACTGCCCCACCGTCGTCGAAAGGACATTGCATTGGGTCTCCGCGGCCTATGTCGAAGCAACATGACAATATCTGACGCGGATGTTGAAATGCAACGAGAGAATTTTCAACCCAAAGTAATTTGATGGGTCTTTTTCTGCAGTCATGCCAGTGGTTCCAGCTGAAACCGTGCCTGGCAGGTTAAATTATCAGTAATGTGTTATGCATATTTGACGGACGGCAATCGAGGGCGATGGACAGATTACATTTGACACAGGCCGCGGACGGGTCGCCAAAGTAACCCATCGATAACATAGAAAGCGGTGGTTCGATTATTCCAAGGATTCAAGCTGATGACAGGTCCATGCAGGTGAGATGGCTCCGATTTATGAATCCACAAACGAATACAACAAACATTCGCGCCAAGTTCCAGAAATCCCGGTGCTAACTACGCCTCGGTGAACAGGGATATCGGGATGAAGCATAGCATCGTTTTGGCTCTGGTGCGGTGGGTGGGATGATTGATAATAATACAGCCTTCTAATCGGTCTGCGATGGTGAACCAAAGACCAAGCATAATCTGCAGGCTCTCGATGTTGGCAATGCATACAGCAAACCCCACCAAACACTCCCCCACGCTGGGAGAAACAGGCCAATATCGATCATGCCGGACTTTTTGTGTCCCCCACGTTGCCAGATGGTAATCCCTGTCATACAGAGGCTAAGGATGGATGGATTTGACAACCGTAGATCTTGGGTATCCTGAACCTAATACGAAGTTTGTTAGTGCAACATCTCAGTTCATTCCGCAGACAACAAAAATGCAAGGCACATTTTCAATTGCTTGTAGGAATGAAACCTTTACAATTTCAGGCGCTTCTGTATCGAGGTGAACAGGGTTGACGTTGGGTGACCACATTGCAAAGCTACCAACTATTCATTACACAAGAGACCGACAATTGGCCCATCTAGCGAACAAAATATACTGTGGCGGAGCGGAGGGCCTGCTAAATTTGGCACAAATGCATTTGTTGTCGTATCGTGAGCCACAGTGTTGGTCAAATTGCCAGGATGTTTTGTGCAGTTGCAGAGTAAAAATATCCAGCACCATGGTCTCCAACCAGTCAATGACAAGCTGGTAACCGATCATGAATCCCAATCAGGAAAGAGCTCAATCCTGCCAGCGTGCTGCTGACACTCTGGTTAGTGCGTAGCAAGCACCCGACCTGTCGCTCCTTCTTCCTCGTGATGATGCATGCCAAAAGCCTACACGCACCTAAGGCATCAATTTCAATGGAGAACATCACGAACCGCACATCCCCAGACCAAGTTGACGACTACAACTAGTGCGATTACTTAACAAAATTTCCTCACTGTGGCTCCTCCGCATTTTCCGGAACGATATATTTATTCGCCAACAAAGCAACGGCACCCTAGTTCCACTTTGCCGCGCGGACAGGCGGATACTGGTTGTATGGCCAATGTCCTCGGCGTGCCTTGTGCCTTGCGGCCAGGGTCGAACCAACGGAAACTTCTAAACCATGCCAATCACCAGCGTGAATGCCACGATGCGCAGGCAAGGTGCAGCCTATAAACTGTCGCGAGCGATGGTGGCTGCCAATCCCAGACGGTTGGGAATGCGCGCCGTCGTGCCGCCCCTGGTATGCCAGCGCCACAGGCCATGACAGTTTTGAAGAACAACCCGACGATGGCCAATTCGGATGTTTGACTGACACTTGACTAGGCTGATGAGCAGAGTTTTGCCTCAAAGTGGCATACTACTACCACCACTTACCGCGGACTCGCCCACACCTCACATCCGCCATGCCGAAGCCCCAAAGTACCCACGCCACCTTGGCATCGGCACACCCACCGCAACGTTACAGCCCCAGCTTTTTTCTTAAATCCTCTCTCCAGACGTTATGCAGCCCCCGGTTGACGAGGCGTGGCTCATAACCAAGTCTATGTATGCATGTATAGTGGAGGACTCACTCAAGGCGAAAACATCCAGTCTGCAAACGAGACATTCGACATAGTCCACCACTCCGCGGTTGTAGCACTGGCCCCGAGAGTTCATTGCCGATGAGACCTTCCGCAAGACGTCCGCCTGTGGTCCACATACCCCGGGCGTTCTATTGCGCGGTTGTGTGCATCATCTCGCCCGCACCCCCGTCTCTGCAATCCTTTGCCATTGGCTCCGCCCGACCTTCTCCCCATCAACCTTTCATCTTGAGGTTGCTCCCCTGTGTCCGACGAGGGTGAGTGAGAGAAGTGGCTCAAGTCAATTTTCGAAGCACAGCCAGGCACTAACACCACTCGCTCCCAAGCGGCGGCAGAAAACGGGAGACTGAAAACGCAACCGTGGACCATCTATGCTATTGTCCACTGACCACTGACCATTCTGCGACGCCGGCCAACCTGGCTGCGGCTCTCTGTAACATCCAACTTTGTTTACCGTTGCGAGTGGTTGCCTACGACGTTTTTGTTGGCGTTCCGAATCCGAGTTGTATACGGACACGAACACCTGTCTCTCCCCTTCCACACTCTACAAAATTAAGTTTGCCCCAGATTGCATGTAAACCTGGCCAGGTTTCATCAAGTTGTGTTGTCCATGGCCAGGTGTCCTTGTTGACCCCCCAGATTCCCATATTTGACGTCCCTTTTTGATCGGCCCGTCCGGTGGTGGTTGGTCTCGTCTCATCTTGGATGCATCTCTTTGTTTTCGTTTAGGGTTTCTGTTCCTCATTGTATCCATTGCTGGCACTCTCAAGACTTTACCTCGACGGCACGTCAAACTTTCACCCTAGCACGGCTTGCTACGTTCATCTCTGCCCCTACACCATCGCTTAGCACATTGGGCCCGGTTGATCTGGTTGATCTCACCTTGAATCTGAGTTTGCTTGGTTGGTTCAACTTAAAATAGGTGCAACATTGCAACCCTCATTTGTCCTAAACTCAAAACATTTATCTTTGAACATTTTCCCCCTCGTCTCAACTTTGGCATCTTGCGTTCGAGCCAATGTTATGCCCAGCATCATTCTCACGATGACGAACCTTCGAAAGGCATTCATTGCCGCCATTGTAAAGAGCTTGCTTCGAGGCAAGTCTCTAATACAAGCCTTACTCTCCTTCTGGGTCAACCCTGGCATAGCCGAGGGTGGCAAAGGGAACTCAACAAAAACGCTACAAGATTTTCTCAAAGATGCCGAGGCTGCGCTCCTCGGTCCTGTTAGTGGCAATGGTCTCCAGGAGCTTTCCGCAGGCTTAAAGAAGCAATTTGTTGAACGCTTGCAAATAGATGAACAATGCATGTTGCCTTCTTATAGCCATCAGCTGCCGTTGGGCAGCGAATGTGGACAGTACCTGGCTTTGGATGTTGGTGGTTCGACTCTGAGAGTCGCTGTGGTGGAATTGCGAGGTCGTCGGGTGGATGCTGACAAGCAGAGTGAAATCATCAGCATGCACAACTACCGGATTGGCAAGGATGTCAAGGATCTAGAGGGAATGGACTTTTTCAACTGGATGGGCCAGAAGATTGCCGAGACGCTTGCCGAGAGTGGTCAACATGAGAATTCTGAGGCGAAGCCTCTTCCTATTTCTTGTGCTTGGAGCTTCCCGATTGAGTAAGTATTCACCACCTGCACACACTTTCTAGTATTGCCGTTTTTACTTATCGCATTAAAGACAAACTTCCATGGGGAGTGGCAAGCTCCTCCCAATGGGTAAAGCATTCTTGGCAGACCGAGGCTTGTTGGGTGAAGATCTTGCTGGAATTATCAAGCAGGCTTGCAAGCAGTCTGGTCTTCACGTTGAACTGCGAGCCCTCTTAAACGACTCTAGTGCTTGCCTGTTGTCACGAGCCTACTCTTACACGTCTACTCGATTTGGTCTTATTCTGGGCACGGGTGTCAACTTGGCGGCGTACATGCCCGTCCAGAGTGTCGGCATGAAGAAGTTTGGAGTACGACCCAAGGGTTGGTATGAGGAGGCTAACCACGTCATTGTTAATACGGAACTAGGAATGTTTGGCCACAACATCTTGCCGCTGACAAGATGGGATCATGCGTTAACCAAGCAGCATCCTCGCCCCGATTTCCAACCCCTCGAGCATCTTGTTAGCGGCATGTACCTTGGCGAGATTGTCAGACTGGCACTTCTTGAAGCTATTGAAACCACTGGGCTACTTGGTGGTGTTGTGCCTCATTCTTTGAGGACTGGTTACTCCCTAGGCACGGACACGATTTCTATGATTGAAAGGTACGGCAACACTTTTGTCTTTGGGTCCGACTGTCAACTAACTAACAATTCAAATAGCGACACCTCCCCAAACCTCGAGGAGGCCATAAAGACCTTTTCGGATCGACACCCATCATCATATACACCCACTAGCTCCGATCTTATTGCTATCAAAGCCCTTTCATCATTTGTTTCTATTCGCTCCAGCGCTCTTGTCGCTACTTGTGTCTACACGCTATGGGACCTGCGTCTGGATTTTGAGCAACAATATGTCGATACTTTGCTCGAGTCGTCCCCAGAGCGTAAGCGTGTTGAGGATGATATGAAACTGGAGAGCACTACGGTTGCGTTCAACGGTAGTGTGATCGAAAATTATCCTGGATACCTCGCAAACTGTCAACGTTATTTGGATGAGTTGATCGAGAGCAAATGCTCACCTGAACCACGAAGTATTCGTCTCATTGCGGCTAAGGAGAGCTCATTGTTGGGGGCTGCCGTTGCATTGGCATGCGTTGAGCGAGGTGATTGAGCTGGAAAGCTTTTTTCCATTTTGTTAATTTGGAAGAGCCAATGGCATATTTTTTTGGCGAATGGTTGGCGAATAGCATGTGATACTTCTGTAAGTTGAGGGATGGGTTATTCGCTCCCTTTTCCCTCCTAATGTTTTACATTGGACATCGTGAGTGTGCGGAGAATGAAAACGCATACTTAGAGGCGCAGGCTAGCATTGCTTCACATTATGCTTTAATGTTTCTTTTATAGGATCTAGGGGCGGACTTTTTATTCAGGTTGGCAGTGTATATAACCGCGGAGGTCTTGAGGCGGTGTTATCTCAAGCGCTTGGGATATGAAGGTCAGCAAACCGGGCCGCTTACGGCACTACATACGTTCAAAATGGCGATATTAAAAATCCAAGATGGAAAGATGCGCTTGAAGAGCAAAGACTCAAGGTTGTCTTTACTAGATTAAACAAATATTTGCTACTTGCGAAACGAGTAAAGGTGCTTGTTTGGAGTGGAACAGAGTATCTGTAGGATGCATTTATACAGCACTAGTGGCTAATTGTGCGACGGATATATCACAATACATACCAAGTGTCTACCTGCTAGGTAGGTGGATTAGTGCCTAGCACTTGTTAGATTGCGTTATATACAGTTAGATTATCAGTTTTTTTTTTCGTTTTTTTTTTTTTTTTGCAATATATCAGACTTTTGAATAGTACGTGACAATTGAGGGGCTGTCTCGTGAACCTTCAATGTTGGAAGTTACTTAAGTATGATAGCTGTACTGTCACTAGAACCAGGGGCCACACGTCCAGTGATTGCCGAGGTGGGGCAATACCTAGTAAATGTAATGAGTGACCTTGGCTGTTGTGTGCTGATCAACTATGATGCAGGTACTATTTACTCAACGCGGAGTCAGGTGACCGCCTGCCTTGTTCGCGTTTTGTTCCGCTTCGCGCCAAAGGGGACCCCATTACAAAGGCACGCGTTCAGGCACAACAAACAGGCAGACAGACAGTCTTCGATTAACGACGTAATTCAAGCGCGCGGCCTCATAACCAGGCAGAGCATACCGCCAGTGTTAAATGTATTAACTTAAATAACAGAAATTTTTCTTTCGGCATTGTGCCGCACCACATCAGCAACGCATTTTGCTCGTCGGACCACACCCATCACAATGGCTGCCAGATCGGGCGTATTCAACGAGTGCGCTGTCGCGTTCGTTCCTAGCAATGAGCTCACTCCAAAGTTAATTGGCGACGTAAGCAGGCAATATGCTTCTGAACACCAATTCAGTTGACTCAAATCGGTTTGATTGACTGATTTTGTCTAGTTATCCCGCATTATAGAAGACAACGGCGGTACGATTTGCGAACCCCGCCGCAACGGCTCAATTCCCATCGAAAAAGCCACGCATATCGTTTCAAACACCATCAACTTTGAACAATATGTCGAGTCTCAGGCCATTATGATTCCCGTCGTATCAGAGCACTGGATCTCGACTTCAATCATGAGGAGGAAAGCTGCACAAGTCAGGCCGTTCTCTCCGGATCCACGAATGATCTTTGCCGAAATTGTTGTCACCTGTGCGGATTTGCCGCTTATGGACAAGGAGAGTATCATCGGAGCGACGATGGCACTGGGAGGACAGGAATCTAAAGATGTAACCAGATTGACTACACACATTTGTGCGTTGAGCATGGATGCGCCAAAAGTCATGGGGGCGCTTGAAAAAGGATTCAAGGGCAAAATTGTTCTGCCTCATTGGTGAGTCGTGGTAATTTGGAATAAATGGCTAGATTTGACATGTGCTAATGAGCCAAAGGTTCGACGCCTGCTTCAAGCTTGGCAAGAGGATAGATGAAGAACCGTATCTCCTGCCGGATCCAGAAGTAATGAAGAAATCAAGCGATGATGCCATTAGCATCCCTGCAAACAAGAATTTGGTTGGTGCGACTTCAGTAAGCCCTGAGTTTCTGCCCATCGCCGCCGATAGCCAAGGCGCACGACCTCCTGTAACGGTTTTCCAGGATAGAGCGGTTATGCTAGCGGCAGACCTTCACATTACTGCGAGGCTAGCAAAGGCCATTGGGGATATTGTTCTCGATGGAGGGGGGAAACTGGTTCGCAATGTTGACGACTGCGACATGTACATTTGCCAGTATCGCGACGGCGATGAGTACATCCATGCAGCTCAGTCTTGCAAGGAAGTGGGTAGCCTCTCATGGTTGTATTCACTCATTGTGAATAACCAGTGGCAAAATCCCCTTCACCGACTTTTACACTATCCTGTACCTCTAAATGGTATTCCAGGCTTCAAAGATCTTCGCATCACTATATCCAACTACGGCGGGGAAGCAAGGATCTACCTGGAGAATCTTATCAAAGCTTGCGGCGCAGAGTTCACCAAGACAATGAAGGCAGACAACACGCATCTGATAACCGCTCGCGATTCTAGCGAAAAATGCAAGGCGGCTCCGGAATGGGGTGTTGCAGTTATCAACCACCTCTGGATTGAAGAGAGCTACGCTAAGTGCGAGCTTAGGGCCATTAACATCTCCAAATATAACCACTTTCCCCCAAGAACCAACCTGGGGGAGATCATAGGGCAAACCTTTTTAGACGAGTCGAGAATTAGGGACTTATTCTATCCCGGTGGCGAAGAGAAAGTGTCTCCCAGCGCGAGGAGAAAGAGAAAGATCCTGGAAGCTGCAGCAGATAACGCCTACCATCGAGGTCCTGCAGAGGGGGTCGTCATTGGGCGTGACAAAGACTTTGACGTCATGAGGGACGATGAAGAAGACCAAAATCCGTCCTCCCTGAAATCGAAGAAATCCACCGCCGTCGAGACACCCGCACGCTCCCGCCGTGCTCACTCCGGCAAGGAGAACGACACCCCGCCTGCCATGTCGACTGGTAGCCGTAGCGCCAAGGCGAAGGCAAGGGACATTTTGCAATGTATTGCGCCTGATATTGCCTTGTACGAGAAAGAAAAGAAGAGACACAGCAAAGCCGGGGCACCGTGGGGTGGCAAACGAGCCGCAAACTTGGCTGAGAAAGAAAAAGACAGCAAGACTGCCACCAGCCCCAAACATAAGCAAGAAGACGAGGATGAGGATACGAAGCGACCATCGAAGAAGCAACGGCCGTCATTACCGGATGTGCATATGAGACTGGTGGTTACTGGCTACACTGGATGGGTTGGAGACAGCAAAAAGGAGGATCACGACCGTGTAAGTTGCAACGGAGCAAGGAGCATGTATCTCTGGGAATCCTATTTTATACTAATTGTGCTCTTGTATAGAGAAAGATGCGGGCTCTTGGAATTCTGATTGTACAGGAAGGCCAAGCCTGCGACTACCTCGTCGCACCTCAAGTGGTGCGTACCGTCAAGTTCCTCTATGCGCTAGCTCGCGGAGCGGTTGTCCTTTCGTCCGACTTCATCGACAAGGTCCTCGAAACTGGAGACGTGCCCGATGTGGATGACTTCATTCTGCAAGACCAGGAGGCAGAGCGCAAATACAAGTTCAAGATCGAACGGTCGATGGCTCGAGCCAAGGCCAACCGAGGCAGGCTGCTCCAAGGAATCCCCATTTACTGCACTGAAGGGGTTCGAAAGGGGCCGGAGAGCTACAGGTCCATAGCGGAAGCCAACGGAGCCATATTCAAGCTCTATCGCGCGCGGAGCGGCACGACCATCAAGCCGACAACGGCAGAAGAGGACGGATTCGCTAAGCCAGAGCCAGTGTACTTGCTGTCGGGCAATAGCCCTGATGAGAAGCAAATGTGGGTGCGATTCAGAACCATGGCTGAGAAGGGTAACATGGAGTCCCGAATTGTTGACCCGGATTGGTTACTGGATGTGGCCATGGCACAGGAAGTGCGTTTCGATGAGAATTTCTTGATTGAGAAGCGCAACCAAGACAAGAGTAGCTAAACGGTGAGTCTTTGCGACTTGACCAGGCGTGCCATGGGAGGGAGGAGCACCGGAGTACGGAGTTGGAGCCTAGATACCAAAGTGCTCATCAAAGGATTTCTGTTTCTGGGGGTTGGCGGTTGTCTTTGTTTGTTTTGCGGGTGTCTCGGTGCCGATGGGACAAGAACAAATCCTTGTATATGCTGCCTGTTGCACGATATAGCCGTAATCAATCAGAAGAACTTGACGCCCAGAGAGTCTTCGGAACCAAATATTTGAGCTTTGCCCCGCTTGACGAGAACATTGAGAGCCTTGAGTAGGACCTCGCTGTCCATGCCGTGTAGTTCTGGTAGGTAGGCAGGCAGGCAGTTAGCACCAGACAGGTTCCCGGGCCATGCAAGCAAATTTGGCGCATCAAACGCGACGCCACGAGACCGCGACGTACCTGTGCCTCTTGTTCCCTCCCCATCAGTCAGCTCGTAAAGGGTCAGCACGCTGCCCTTTTGCGCGGTGTCCTCGACGTAGGCCTCGACCAGGGCCGCCCACTCGTCGGGCTTCTTCCAGTAGACGTAGACGACGTCTCCGTCCCTGGCCTTGTCGCCGCCGGCGTACTCTGCCCTCCCGTCCTTGCGCATAAAGTCGATGACCTGGCGGATGTCGGCGGGCACCAGGCGGCGGTTGATGCGGATGTTGGAGAAGAGGGCCGAGTCCGAGGCGGACGAGAGGGAGAGCTTGAAGAGGCGGTGGTGCTTGGCGTAGGAGAGGATGAGGGAGGACCACTTGGTGAGTTGGGCGTGGTGCGTGGTGAGATTCGGCTGGGGCGTGAAGAAGGCGGGGAAGTGGTATTCACGGGGGAAGCGGAATGATGCGTCCGGGGGTTGAGATGGGGGTTGAGGCTGGGCGGGCGATGTCGAAGTCGATGCCATGGTGTGAGTGAGTAAGTGTGGTGATGGGTTGTGGTTGTGGTTGTGGAGAGCTGCTCCTGTACGAATGTAATGTACCTAATGTATGGCGGATGGGTGGGCCGAGTACAAGGCGCGCGCGAGAGGGTTGGCTGGAGGGGTAAAGAAGGAGGGGCACATTGTACTTCGTACTTTATGTATATCGAGTACCCGGTGCAATCGTCACGTTGGATTATACGGCGCCCGGGGTGGTCATTAGCGGGAAATAGTATGGGCATTTGTTCAAGGCGCATCAGGTCTATACCTTTTGCGCGAAGCGGATACTGCTTCACATGCAGCCTGCCGTAGGCTCTGGGAGTTTCTACTGCGATATGGACAATGTATTTTTTGCCCCTTATGATGGCGCACTTTGTGTTGGGCAGATGGCGCACTACCGCTTGGGTTTATGTCGCAAAAACTCACGACGCCGTACTTACTGTACAGGTTTCCAAGGGAGGATTTTATAGCTTGGATTTTTAAGAATATGTCACCAAGCCAATCAATCACCTCATGCAGTTCCAGTCCGCTGGTTCCTCGTAGTCGTTGTAGATAAGACGGAGGCGGCGACTAAGACACCAGCCAATCAAATAACGACGCGGTCGTTCCCTATCAAGGTCCACTATTATCATGACGATAAAGCATCTGAGCGCAGGTGCCGAGGAGACGTCTGGTTTGGAAGAGGAAAAAAAAAAGGAAAAAGGGGAGGAATACAATGAATCGTAGGAACTGGCATCTATGCTATACGCATAGGAGAACTTTTCTAAAGTTGAAAAAAAAGAGAGGTGGGCAAGCCAACCCGTTTCGCACAAAGATGCGACCTGAAGGAAGATGAGCAAAGCAAAAAGCAAGGCCGGATCCAACACATCCGACAGTTCCCCAGAATCGATCAAACCCTGTTCTCGACTCGCGGCACTGGGCCTTCTCCGCGGACCCTGGAATCTTGCTGATTCGGATAATCGGCCTCGAAATGATTGGACATGCTTTATCAGGAACACGGCCCCCGCGCTTATCATCATCCCATCGCTGCATGGCGAACTTGCGAGCAGCCAGGGCCAATGATGGTGGTTGCGAATGGAACATTGCGTCAAGCTCCGGAGATGTTTGATTCTAGATACAAGAGTCACCTGATTCTGGAAATATGAGACCCAGATACCGTCAAGAACAAGCGTCTTTTTTTGTTTGTTTGTTTGTTTGGTTGATGATTCTTGTCTTTTGCTTGTTCCTTCTTTCCTTCACTCTCTTTGTCGGTAATCGTCGTCACATAGGAATACACTGCAGAAAACTGTAGATCAGAATGACGACGGACAAGAAGAGAGTAGTGGTTGTGGGGTTGGGCATGGTAGGAATAGCCTTCATGTACGTTCTTCTTCTCCCTCGGCCGCCATGAAAGGAGTATTGACCCTGGTGCCTAGAGAGAAATTGTTAAAATATGATGCCCACGAACGACAATACACAGTCACTGTTCTCGGTGAAGAGTCCCATGTGGCATATAATCGCGTCGGGTTGACGAGCTTCTTCGAGCACCGTAAAGTCGAAAACCTGTACATGAATCCTCTGCAATGGGTATGTCGCTGCTGAACCAAAGAGAAATGGGAAAATGGGATACATCTAACAGGCGGCGCAGTACGATGAAGCCAGCGTCTCGCTCGGGTACCACATCAACACAAAGGTCACATATATAAACTCGGCCTCCAAAACAGTCACATGTGAAAATGGTGACATACTCCCCTACGATATTCTGGTCCTGGCCACAGGTTCACACGCCTCATTGCCACGCCACACACCCGGCTGCGACGCCAAGGGCGTGTTTGTCTACAGAACTATTGACGACTTGATAAATCTCATTGACTTTGCTGCCGAGCGCAAGGAGAGCACGGGATGTGTCGTCGGCGGTGGGCTCTTGGGTCTTGAAGCCGCCAAGGCAATGATGGACCTCGAGAGCTTCAGTTCCGTCAAGTTGATTGAGCGCAACGGGTGGGTGCTCAGCCGCCAGCTTGACCAGGAGGCAGGGGGCATGGTTGTGCAACAGGTCGGTGATCTTGGCCTAGACGTCATGCTGAGCAGGCGTGTGAGGGAGATCAAGGTCGATGGCGCGAATCACGTCGTGGGTGTAGTCTTCGAAGACGGCGAAGACCTCGATTGCTCGACGGTGTGTTTCGCCATTGGCATCACTCCCAGGGACGAGCTGGCCAGGGCTTCAGGGCTCGACTGTGTCCCGCGGTGCGGAGGCATCGCCGTCGGAGATGATTTGAGAACCAGCCAGCCCGACATTTACGCCATTGGCGAGTGCGCAAGCTGGCAAAGCCAGACGTTCGGCCTCATCGCCCCCGGCGTCGAGATGGCCGAGGTCCTGGCCTTTAACCTGACACAGGCCAAGCTCCACGCGCCGAGGGTATTCAAGCGCCCCGACCTGAGCACCAAGCTGAAGCTCCTGGGCGTCAACGTCGCCAGTTTCGGCGACTTCTTCGCAGACCGAGACGGGCCAGCCCATCTTCCTGCCAAGTACAAGAAGTTGGTCAACGGCGCGGCCAAGCAAGCGCAGACGGTCAAGACGCTCACCTACAAGGACCCCTTCCAGAACATCTACAAGAAGTACATCTTCACGTCAGACGGGAAATACCTCCTCGGCGGCATGATGATTGGTGACACAAACGACTACATCAAGGTCGTCCCCATGGTCAAGACCATGAAGGAGCTAGACGTCCCGCCTAGCCAGTTCATCCTCGGCGCCAAGAAGGACGGCGACGGCGACGACGGCGACGACTTGCCCGACGACACGCAAATATGCTCCTGCCACAACGTCACCAAAGCCGACGTCGTGAACTGCGTCAAGGACGGCTCATGCAAGGACCTGGGCGCCGTCAAGTCATGCACAAAGGCCGGCACGGGCTGCGGCGGGTGCATGCCTCTGGTCACGACAATCTTCAACAAGACCATGGCGGCCATGGGCAACGAGGTCAAGAACCACCTCTGTCCGCACTTCAGCTACTCGCGCGCGGAGCTGTACCACATCATCAGCGTGAAGCAGCTCAAGTCCCTGCGCGAGGTGATGCGCGAGGCGGGCAACGACGACACCAGCTCCGGCTGCGAGATGTGCAAGCCCGCCGTGGCGAGCATCTTGGCCTCGCTCTGGAACCAGCACGTCATGGCCAAAACCACCCACGGCCTGCAGGACACAAACGACCGCTACCTGGGCAATATCCAGCGCAACGGCACCTACTCTGTGGTGCCGCGCGTGCCGGGCGGCGAAATCACCCCAGACAAGCTGCTCGCCATTGGTGAGGTAGCCAAGCAGTATAACCTGTACACCAAGATCACCGGCGGCCAGAGAATCGACATGTTTGGTGCCAAGAAGCAGGACCTCGTGGATATATGGAGCAAACTCGTTGCAGCAGGCATGGAGTCTGGCCACGCCTACGCCAAGTCCCTTCGCACCGTCAAGAGCTGTGTAGGCACGACCTGGTGCCGATTCGGTATCGGTGACAGCGTAGGCATGGCTGTCAGACTAGAAGAGAGGTATAAGAGCATCAGGGCACCGCACAAGATTAAGGGTGGCGTGAGCGGCTGTGTGAGAGAGTGTGCAGAAGCCCAGAACAAGGAGTATGTTCTTTCCCTCCTCCTCCTCTTCCCACTTGTACTTGATCCTCAAGAGTCAAGACAAAACCGCTAATCACAGATCCGCAGCTTCGGTCTCATCGCTACAGAGAAGGGGTTCAACATCTTCGTCGCCGGCAACGGCGGTGCCAAACCCAAGCACTCTGAGCTCCTCGCCAAGGACGTGCCTCCCGCAGACGTGGTCCCCATCCTCGACCGCTACCTCATGTTCTACATCCGCACGGCGGACAAGCTCCAACGCACGGCAAGATGGCTCGAGAGCCTCCCCGGCGGCATCAAGTACCTCCGGGAGGTGATCCTCGACGACAAGCTCGGCATCTGCGCCTCGCTGGAAGCGCAGATGAAGGGCCTGGTGGCCAGCTACTTTGACGAATGGGCCGAGGCCATCAGGAACCCCGAGATGGTGGCCCGGTTCAAGCAGTTCCAGAACACGCCCGACACCGTCGACAGCATGGAAACAGAGCA